TGTAGTATACCCTAACAATACTGAAGCGCCTAAAACATACGGAAATTTTGCATGTAGTGGCAACAGCGACTAGATAGCTTTCTATTGTATATCCATCTATGCGATGACACATAGTTTTTAGTTATCTGTTTAGTTTCGCCAAGTATATTTGAATTGAAAGCGGTCGGCTTTTGTAAATTCTGCAGAATTATTTTTATTGTTTTACTCCTATAAATAAGTAAGTATGGTAAGTGAATAATACTTAATATAGTTTTTTACATATTTTTTATTAGTTTAAGCTAAAATTAATTACGAACGAGAACAAGCACGCCTTCAGGCCTTATGGAATGAAGTAGACAGTGACGAATGTATTGACAAGAGTGATTCGGAAGTAAGTGAAGAAATAGACAATGTTAGTGAAAATAGTGACTATACTGACCAGCTTCAAGATGTTGACGTTCCAGATATCATAGACAACTCAGATGAAGATGGAAGTCCAAATGTAACTGCCCACTTTTTAGGAAAAAATGGAAGTAAATGGCTGAAAGCTGTACCAAACAAAAAAACGTTAGAAAAAGATCTGAAAACCTTAACATATCTACCTGGTGTTAAAACGTATGCTAAATCAGCCAGAACTCCTATCGAATGTTTTCAGTTATTTATATCTGAACAAATGATTGTTGACAATGTTACATGCACTAATGAAAGAATAAGAGAAAATACTGAAAAATGGAAAGATTCAAATCACTTTGGAGAAACAAATACTTCAGAAATTAAAGCTGCACTTGGCCTCTTATACGTATCCGGTACATTAAGAAATAATCATCGTCGTCTGTGTGAGCTTAGGAATGTGGATGGCACAGGTATGGACATATTTCGGTGTACAATGAGTCTAAGAAGATTTGAGATTTTAATTTCATGCCTTCAGTTTGATCATAAAAAGAACAGGGCGATTAAAACTGGACAAATTGGCACATATTCGAGGAATTGTTGACCGAGAGGTTACCGAGAATCCGAGAACCGAGAGGTGCAAACCAGCTAAGTACGGTATAAAAGTACACGCTTTGGTAGATGCATATACATGCTACCTTGTAAATATGGAGGTTTATGTTGGTCAGCAGCCAGATGGACCTTTTAGACAAAGCAATAGCCCTAAAGATATTGTAGACCATCTAGTTGCCTCGATATCTGGAACAGAACGGAATGTGACGATTGACAACCGGTATACCAGCTACGAACTCCTCGAAAACCTACGAAATACTCACAAACTCACTGCGGTTGGAACAGTTAGAAAAAATAAGCCACACATACCTCCAGAATTTTTAAATGTAGGGGAAAGGAGGGCAAGATGACGATAGTAAGCTTAAAAAAATCCTAGAACTTATATTTTTCCTTGTATCGAATGCATGCAACTACAAGGTAATTGGCTGATAGTAGTACTTTACATATTAAAATTAGATTACGTAAGGGTTAATATTTCAAACTAAAATTTATCTACCCATGTCATATTCGTCATCTTACCCGTCGTAAAGGGTAAGATGACTAATTGTGAAGGGTAAGATGACGAGGTATGCCTATTCTAAGAAAAAAAGTCAGTTATATACATATATATATATATATATATATATATATATATATATATATATATATATATAGGCAGGAAAGTAAACAAATTAAAGTAAAATGCATTTATTTTGTAACTAATGCAGCACTTGTAGTAGGTCCTACATTTTTAAAAATACCAATCACACGTCCATTGTTTTACCTTTGCTTCTTGACTATCCATTTCAGTGCATTCATAGTGAGCCCATTCCCTATACCTGCTGCAGCAATACCATAGCTCATCTTTTCCTCTTTCGTCGCAGATTATGCAATCTCTTTCTTCCTCTGAATCGTTATCAGTGTCAGCATATTCCATATTTACTGACGAGTTAGACGAGTCGTCAAATTTTATTTTTCTCTCAGTCTTTTTCCTTTGCCTTTATCGAGAGTGAATTTCCTATTTTTTCCTGAAAATTAAAGTCTTTGCTTCTATTTCTTTTCCAATTTTCTTCTGTTCTGTTATATCCCTTTTCCTCTCTTTTGCTAATTTGGAGCTTCCTTTTCTTCTAAAATCTTTACTATTGGTGTACTGGAAATAACGAGAGATGGTAATTTCTTTCTGGGTCGTTTTGCTCTCACTTCAGCAACAAGTAATTTAGGCAGACCATTATTCAATATATGATTTGATACATGAGGGGGTGTCCGACCAGCTATTCCTGATGTAGATGGAACAGGCATATTTGGAATAGAAATATCTAAAATTTCGTCATATATTTTAACAGATTCTTGAGGTACTGTTTCTTTTAAAACATATATCGGTGACATTCCTTAAATATCTGGTATTTCCTCTTCGACCTTTACATTTTTTAAAGCAGAGGTAGTTGCCAAACTATTGCCAAAGATGCCTCAAAATCAAGTATATCAAACACCTGGCTATCAACAGGATATATGCCAGTGGCTCTAAAACCACTAAGAGTATTTGAAACAGTTGCTGCTTTTAAGTACGCTTTCCCAAATAGGGTTGCAATGTCATACAATGTTATAAGACGACCAGGATTACTGATCAAAAAATCTTCGCAAGCTCGTGAGTATGCTGCAAAAGGATTGTGCAAAGTCTTTACCAACCATTTTCTTTGTAGTATCTATCAGCAACACCAAAATGAACGGCAAAGTCGAAAGCAATTTTTCTAAACTGATCCGTGGTTAATCCAAATGCCCGTTTATCTATATCTATCAGATCTAGTAGGTTCTGGAATATATGCTTTTGACGCTGCATTGGCACTTACCTGATGAGCAGTTATTTAAGCCATTGCTCTTTTTATATTTTCTTTTGACCAAGATTGTCTGTCTGTCTTTCTTTTGTATATTTTGCCCATATTTAAATCTGAAATTGAAAGTAGGTATGACTTATTGTTAATTTTAGTTAATTCGGGTAAGATGACGAATAACTCGTCATCTTACCCACAAGTGTCATCGTTCTTTCTAAAAATCGCAAAGTCAAATTTATTATTCATAACAAATATTTTCTGTAAGTAATTTATACGTAAAAGATATTAGTTTCGAACAAAAAATACAACAGTTATCCAATACTTACCAAAATCCTTTAAAACCTTATTTTCGAAAACAATAATATTGTTAGCACTAACACAATATCAGTACCAACACTTGTATCATACTAAACTCTGACCGCTAACGTATTTGTAGTCAAAGGCGAGAAACCTTAGAATATCCGTTCGGTCCTGACTGAAGACAGTGTTGCCAGAGTTGTACGTTGGAAAAATATCGGGAATTCGTCATCTTACCCGATTCGTCATCTTACCCCACTTTACCCTACGCAATAGAGATTTGTGTTCTACAGTGTTTGGGTTTCAAGAAAATTGTACACTAATATCCTATCACTCAAAAAAGGGAAAAGTGACATTATTGATGTCATCTCTCCATCATGATAATTCGGTGGGTGATACGGAGAAGAAAGTTCCTGAGATCTTTTTATAATTTTAGTAAGCGTGGTGTTGATGTTGTGGATGGAATGTCCGCATCAAACAGTGTTTCACGTCGGAGTTGCCGCTAGCCACTAACAATCTTTTTCTCCCTTCTCAATACCGCAGGAATTAATGCTCAAATAATTTATAATAATTTACAGAGTGAACAATAATGACGAGAAAATTGCTAGAATTTTCCTAAAAGAGTTAGGAAAACAATTAATAGAAGACAATCAACGGAATAGAGTAACAAATCCGAGGATAACTCGAGAACTGCGTAGTTCTATAAGACATGTTTTGGGTGAACAATCAAAGCCAGTACCCAAGAGAAGGAGACCAGGTCAACAGGGAAGATGTTCTAAGTGTCTTCGTGTTCGTGACAGAAAAACCAAATACGTATGCGAGGCTTGCGAGATTTATCTCTGTATTGAAGCATGCCCAAATCTATTGTAAGGACTGTACAGATTTTGAGTAATTATTCAAGTTCGTATTATTTACTAATTTAGCCATCTTTGTTTTATTAATTATACCTAAATAAAATCATTTTTCTTTTGTCTTTAATTTAGTTGTATTAATTCATAAAATAAACGTAAATAACGTAAACGTAAAAAATAAACGTAAAGATATTTTTTGGAATTCTTTAACTTTTTCAGATTCTGAGGTTTTTTTCACACCCCACCTGTCTGTTAGTGAAAAAAATGCATCTGTCGGATGCCGAGTCCAACAAAAAAACACAAAAAATATCTTTAAACATAAATAAAACATTCTGTGGCTGATGCACTTGTCTCCGTGCCAGTTGTTCGGTGGCCATATCTCTCGCAGTCGTATTTAAACTGGTACCAACATCTAAAGAACTGGTGAGCAGAAAACATTAGAAAATATGGTACATAACAAGGATAACATTTGCTCTTGAAGAGTTCGTGTAAACGTGAGATAAAGAACAAAATTGAAATATATGTAAACGTACAATTTACGTATTAGAGTGGATTTGTATAACGTTCAAGATAATAATGGAGGAATATTGTCAATTTTTTAAAATTAGGCCAAAGTACGGTCCTGTACACGAATGTGACAAAAGGGTTTGACGTTTGTACATAGTAAACTGATTTACAGTTTTAAAACTTCAACTTTTAGGTACTAGATGGTATAAAATTTCGTTGACAACTAGAAGAAATTTCTGTCTAAAATATGTGCGCAAGACTGTAGAAAATACCTCCATTTTGTTTATTTTCTTATGTGAAAAGTGTAGTGTCGGCATTGCGGTAAAACATCATTTAACAAAGCCAATGGGCGCAAAATAAACAAAAATAATTTGTAGCAGTCGAAAAATATAGTCGTATATATGTTCCTTGTGCGGTTCCCTCGTTCAGAGGGTTTACAAAATAGCAGACATTGGGCGCATCGCGAGTAAGCACTTTGTCAAATTGACTACTGTGTCCGGCACTAAAAATAATTCCCAAAATACTCCAAATAACAATAACTCCCTTCATCGTGGTGTTGTGGCAGACAAAGAAGGTTTTCTACATACAAAGAAAAGTAAAATCGTATTCGGCTCTGTTGGCAGAGATAAAACTGTGCCCCTTTTATCGCCACCCCCAATAATGAACCACGTGACAGGTCACTATCGCCGGAACGAAGACAATTCTCAGAATACTAACGTCAATGAAGTTGAGGACATGGAAACTCAAGAAGGTAAGTTTTTACTCAAAAAAGTTGTTATTTTAAATATCCCGGCAGCCATGACAGTTCCATTTTCCATCTGACACATGACAAAAAGATTTTCAACCAAAACTTCGTATCACATTTGGTGGAGTCATGGCCAACCTTTTCTGCAGATTTTTACAATTTTTACTATAAGATACTAAGTGAAATTAGTCGGCTGTGCGGCCAAATGTCCTAAATTGAAGTCTCTGTCGGTTTTCAAGGTTCAGCAATTGAAGTTATTTTGCATTTTCATTAATCTGAGGTAAGCAAATATGAAGAAGAAAGATCAAGTTGAGGATGACCCATAATCTCGGTTTTTTATTATACAAATCCCAGTTTAATTTCCAATGCTTAAACCCATAATCGAATAAAGTGATTAAGGTGCAGTGATCCTTGGACACATAATATTGACCAAAATATATAGACTGAATATGACATGTAAGGACATTCCCACTTACAGAGAATCCTAGAAAATAGTTAGAATTGATTCAATAACATGAGTTGATTTTATTAGGTTGTATTCAAAGTGTATATTGTTTCTAACATAATAACATATAGTATAAAAGTGGCAATAAAATACAGATATAAACATAAATCCTAAAAATATCATCCATTGTTTTTCACAAATCTGGCAAAATTTCAAAACTTTTAAGGCTATATTATTCCTTTCTTTATGTTTTCTCACATTACTGTTTTTTCAATTTTTGGTAGATCTGGGACATAAGTTGCACATGTTGACTACATAGAGCAAATGAAATACCCAGAAAATTTTCCTGTTATGTCTACTTACATGTTCATGAAAAAATTACAGTTTTAATATGTGCAGATGTAGGTACAGATTAAGGATTGTGTGTAATACAATATCATAGTCCATTATTATGTTAATCATTAAAAATATTAATAAAATACTTATGCTATCTTCATACTACTAGTTCATTATACTATCTTTTGCTAATCCAGATTTTCAGAAAGGCTTACTGCAGTATCTTTTGTTTTTATTATCATAAGTAGATGGTATTCTTATTTGATGGTTCTTTGTTTACTGAGGATGTCACATTGAGAGTTTCCTGATTAAATTATGGTTCTGAAAGTCATCTCATTAGAAAGTTTTCCTATTGTTTATGTCACATATTTCCACTGTTAGAATACTTTTTGTATGTACCAGTTTTTGTGATATTTTCATTGATATTTTGATATTTGATATTGTTGTTGTATATTTTGATATTGTATTTTTCTTACCTTTGTTCTTTGTTGTTCATACCATTCTTTAATTTGGTGGAAAATAATTATGGCTTATTGAGATATTTACAGAATAAAGCATTTTTTAATGTTTGTTGAATTTTTATTATCTTCTGTAATTTTCATCCATATTTAAAAGAAATAATGATTAAATTTAATGTTTCTACTCTTTGGGTACATTCTAGTATCCTAGCAAAGTTTCATGGAATTTGTAGCTAGTACCAGAATCATTTTAGGTAATAAATTTCAATGTCAGTTATATGTTCTTAAAATATAGGAAATTTTTCATATGGAATACTAGAAATGATGTTAATATTTATGTTTATATATTACCTATCTCTCTGTATTTGCAATAAAAGCATTCCCAATAACATTATTCATGGAATTATTAGCATCTTTTTTATTTGTGTTTTTATGTATTTTTACTAATACTTGTTAATAATAAACATAACATTCAATGCAAATTTTGTTGTTTATTTACTTAATACAACAAAAAGTAATCTTCATGTTGATCTTTTTGTTGCAGATGTTAGAATGTTTGTTAAAAATATTTGTAATATTTTTTTTATCAGCCTTAATCTTGGTTCATGCACATTGTATTTTTATAGTATAATGTTCTTTAATAAATGAGTCTTTTTTGAATATCCCTTTAAAGCTCAATCCAGATATTTCTAGTGGTATGAAAAATGCAACTTCTCTTTATGTTTAAGGTTGAATTTTATGTGTCATTTACTGCTAGAATGTCTTGATTTCTACTGGAATGTCTTGATTCCCACTGGAACAGGCTACACTAGTTCAAATTGCTGTATTTTTTTAAATTAATATCCTCAAAATAAAGAGAATCATTTTATATTTGTTGTGAATAAACTTATCATTATTCTGTTCTGTTATATACAACTGTATTATTTCTACAATATATATATTAGTGATGTAACAAATGTCATTTTTTAAACATTCGCGAATGCGAATGCGAATGCGAATATATGCCACCGACATTCGCGAATTGCGAATGCGAATGCGAATATTCAGTTTTTTTTTAATTTGGCAATTTTAATTGTCTCCGGCACTGCCGGCAGTCTCATTTGCGTGAGGTGTGTAGGCAATTGGAAAAAGTCTGTCATTTTTAACTGCTTTAAATTGTCCAGTACCATTCTATCATATTTGCTAAAGTAAAGATGTGAAACAGTTGCATTTATTGTAAAGAAGTTTATTGTAGGCGGTTAAGTTTATTGAGGGGTCGTTTAAAAAGGTTATTTATAGTCACGTCCGGGTCAAAAACGTAGAAAGCACGTTTTTTGATCTTATTTTCGCTTGTTATAATCAAATTTGACTTGTTATAGAGAGAAAGTTATAGCAGAGAACTAAGTTCTCTGGTTATAGTTCCAATAAAAATTTCACGGGACACAAGTCACTCCACTTGCCCTGCTCTGCTCGTGCACAAATACAAGTGAATTTTTAGTTAAAGTGTGATTAGCGATTTATTACTATGAGTAAATCAAATTATAGTGAAATATGGACTTATTTTTCACCACCTCTCGATACTGAACGAGTTAAATGCAAGCTGTGTAATATTCGCAAAACATTCGCACAAATTTTGCGAATGCAAATGCGAATATGCAAAAATATGCGAATATTCGCGAATGCGAATGCGAATATTCGTTACATCACTAATATATATATATATATATTATATATATATATATATATATATATATATATATATATATATATATATATATATATATGTATATATTTATTTATTTATCAGTTCCATTCACCCAATATTGGGCATTAGTCAATTTCTTCCATTTTGTTGCTATATTCATCCACATTACTGTGAATTTTTTTAGATCATCTGCCTATTACATTAGCAGTCTGCCAGGTATTCTTCTTGTTTTCCTAAGTACTCCACTTTATATTAGATTATTTCATTTTTCATCTTCTGATGTGTCATAAAAACTGCCTTTTTATACTTACAAATTGCCTTTTCATAGCTCTTTGTGTTATCTTAATATCAACATTTGTCTTTATAAAAATTTATACTTCATAAGCAACAACCAGAAGTGAATGTTACTTGAAAACATTTGTATTGTTGTTTGTTTTTGTGTTTTTAAAATCCAATTTACCAAATGCCATCCAAGCAAGCCTTGACCTAGCAAGCCTGATAATGGTTATTATCTTCTTGTGTACTTTCCATCAACTTTATTGTAATGAAATTCATTTTAAGCACTCCATTTCACTACACTACATCTTCAATCAATTAATGTAATTTTCAATGTTTTTGGCTATTAATTCTGTATAATCTGCATATCTTGGGTCATTTGATAATTGTGCATAAATGTTAATGCCTTTTTACTCCCAGTTTAAGTTTTTAAATATATGAAAAGTTTTGGAGATATTTATATACATTGTCATCATTCATATTATAGAAAATAAACCACAACATGTGAGCCAAACATACATCAGTTATAAGAATTAGAAAATATCTGTGTTACATTGTTTTAGTGTCTCTTTTCACATATTTATAAGAGCACTATCAGAATATCCTTCTCTACCAATAAGTATACTTATTGTAATATGACTTGCAGTTTGCCTCAATTAATTCAAAAGCATTGAACTCAGAGTGATTTCATTATTTATCAACAGGTCTAGTGCACTTTTAGATACAATTATAACAATTTACAACCCCAATAGCAATACTAGCTGTACAGTAATGTTTACATTTAGAAATTAAACTAATTAACTCAACTGTTGTTGTGTAACAAGCTTAAAACTATTGGATTTACAGGCAATCTGTATAACTGGTTATGTAGTTACCTAACTAGCAGAATACAACTTGTTAAAATTAAACACTTTCAATCTAGTGAGATCTAGGTAACATCTGGTGTTCCACAAGGAAGCCACTAGGGCCTTTCCTTTTTAATATATTTGTTAATGACATTAAATCTCAAATTAACTCTAAATTTCTGCTATTTGCTGTTGATTTAAAAATCTATAGAATTATCGAAGACGTCTCAGATTGTGAAAAACTTCATATTGATATTAACAAAATTATGGCATGGTGCAATTGGAACCAAATGAGCACTAATGTTGGAAAATGCCACTTTATTAGTTTCTGTAGAAGAATTAACAACCTCTCTTATAATTACAAATTAGCTGAAGAACCACTAAAGGCTGTCTCATCTGTAAGAGATCTTGGTGTTCAATTAGATTCTAAACTAAATTTTTGTGCTCATTTTGATTATGTGAATAACCAGGCATTTAAAATGTTAGGCTTCATTATTAGAACCTCTAGATGTTTGCATAACATTAATTCCATCAGATTGATTTACATTTCCCTAGTTAGATCTGTTCTTGAGTATTGCTCAGTCGTTTGGTCACCTACTTATGAAGTCCATATAGCCAAGCTTGAAAAAGTCCAAAATAAATTTATTAGGTACTTAAGTTTTAAATTACACAAACCTTTAAGTGACCATTCCTACTCAGAAATTAGAAATACATTAAACCTTCCTAGGCTATCTTCCAGACGGATGTATGCTGATGTTTTGTTTCTTCATAAACTACTGAATTCAAAAATTAATTGCAATCTACTGTCTCTAATTGACTTTAATGTTTCCTCTAGAGTTACTAGAATATCTCAAAATTTTGCAATTAAATTTCATCGCTCTAACTTTGGTAGACATTCTCCACTGAGTAGAATCATTCTAAATGGAAATAGAATAGACTTTGATTTGTTGCTATGTGCTTCGGAAAATGTCTGTAGAATGTGTTTAAAAAAATTTTTGTAATTTTATGTGATTTATATTTGCTATGTGCTTTATATAATTTTAATGTTTGTTTTTTTTTCTATATAGCTGCATCGCCAATTCTTTTCATACATATTTACTATATCTTTATAATTATTGTATCACTAGATAATACTTGTAATACTTTGTGTATATATTAAATTGGGTGGTATCCCTTTAGGTAATAAATAAATAAATAAATGAAAAAACTGTTCATTTGTGTAGCACAAAAATGCTGCCACTGGTTACACATAGTTCAAAACATAAGTAAATTTCATAGATACAAAGTAAAATCTAAAATTAGCTTAAAACAACTCACAACACTAAAGAACTCAGGGTACATGTAGTTTCAACACATTTATAAAATTGCTGAATTATGTTAAAAATTCAAGATTATCTGCGTGAAGATTTTCAATATGTGGTACTCTATACTTCATCTAATTTACTTACTGTTGCATGTCATCCGTGTCATAGTCTGTGAGGTCACATGATACCAACACGAAATATTTAGGCGGTAGGTGTGTTCTTTTTTAGAATCACTTTGCCTAGTACACTGGCATTACAGTCACTAGACGTATTTTATTATATATATACGTAGCAATAATATTTAATGATTTCTATTAATGTTAACTTAAAGAAATACACAATAATATATTTCATTTAATCTGTATAAATGCATTATAAAGCATTTTTATACAGAACATTTGTTTGGAACACACTGTAACTGTAATCAAACGAAGGTGATATTTTGGCATAAATTGGTAACACTTATTTGACAGTTGCTGTGTTGACACTTTTTGTACTTTATTATTTTGAATTTTAAAGAAAATACCTCTTGTTTTATATTTTTACCTATTTAATAAAATCTGTTCTTTTTAGAACAAAATTAGTGTGTTTTATTTCAAAAATGTCATGTAAGAATTTAAATAGGTAGTCTTTGTAAAGAGATGGTAGCTTCTTTGATTCATTATTTTATTTAGATGGAAACGAAATTGAATAATCGATCTATATCTGATCACTATCGATAGAAAACCGAAATTTAAATAAATCTGAAGTAAAAAGAAAAAAGCATTTGAAAATTTAGTTGTAACAAAATATTGCAAAGTAAATAAGTAATGAAAAAGTGTTGTTTTTATATTTAAGTATTCCATTTTACATTTTTATACAACGCATAAAAGCGGCTCAAGTTGTTTTTAACAAGATTATTTTTTAACTTTTGTTTTGTTTCTATTTATTTTTATTAAATATTAATTTGTTTTGTTTATCCACTTTTGCAATAATTATGTACCCTATTTGATTTAAAATGGATTCAGGATTTTTTTATACTTTGGCAACTATGTCAACTTAGATCTCTGTCAATGATAATGACATGCAACTGTAAGTAAATTAGATGGACTGTAGTCATGTATGAATTAAAACCAACATTGGTCCACCTAAAGGGCTGATAAAAGATTATATGTGATCTTGTGTTCCTAACAGTAAATTCCACCAACATTTTAGAAATCAATGAATGGCAGTCAATCATACAATTAATGATTTAAAAAATCATTTTAGATCTTAGCACTTTTAAAGTTGGTAATGAGAATGTCTCTTGCAATGATGCAAAATCTTAAGAATACACATTAATTTGTTAGGTGTTATGTTAGGTACTGCAGAAGCTATCTCTGCACTTGCTCAATTCTGTGAATATGACAGATATAATAACTCCAGACTGAAGAACAATCTATTTTAATAGGGGTCTAACAAAACTACAGTATAATAATCAAATAGCTATACTTTTAAAAGTCTGATGTATTTCTCTTAGTAAATCCAAACATACCTAGAACTAGAAAATATCATGTGAATATGATTGACAAATGAGAGTGTGGAGTCCATAGTAACACCAAGATGTTGAAAAGATGTGACTTGGGACAACTGTGAACTCTTTCTTCTATATCAATTTTGTTGTTTCTTTGTAAATATATGGAGTGACACTTATGAAAAATTAAAATACATATCATTGATCTTACACCATTCATCCAGTCTAGCCAGATCTCTGGTCTGATAAGGAGGTAGTCTCAACACTTCATGGCTGTATTCTCTTAGTAGCTCATCAATTATATACACATTTTCTTTTCTGTTCATTTTGTCACATTTTTGCAATTTGTAATAGTTCAGGTTTTGTGAGTTTGTGTCATAACTTGATCTTGTTTGTTGTCAACCATTATCTTTCAAACATGAACAAATTCATGTGATGTATAGCATTATCCATCACAATTAATTGGAAATTGTTCACTTATCCATTTAGTGAAAATTTTATTGTTTATTTTCCCATGATAGTCAGTTATTTTAGATTTTGAGCAAAAAAATAAACTTGCTTCAGTATCAAATCCTTTTGAGGAACCAGTGAGAACAATTAATTATAAAATGTTTACCAGCATATCCTTCTGGTTTATGTATTCTTTGAACACTGTTGTCTTGCCAGGAAATTGATTTATTTCCCTTTGAACAAACCCACATTTCGTAAAAAAACAAGGTTTCTAGGATGTACACCATTACGTTTTTCCGTATATTTATGAAGGAACTGGGCTCTTAAAGCAGCAATACTGATGCACTTAATTAATGCTCTTCAATTCTTATCATTTTTATATTTAAATTCCAATTCTTTTAACAAAATACTAACAGATGTTTTGACAAAAAGCAACTTCTTTATCCCTTAATTAATTACTTACACTTTGCAGAGTAACATGTTTCTCTAAAAAAAAAACTGATAAGTACAGAATAAATCACACTGTTCTAACTAGTTCAATGTAAAGAAAATAAACACTTTGTTTTCATAAAACAATAATTTTTTTCAAATTAAAAACTCATAAGAAAATTGACAATATCACATCAATGTATTCAGTACTTTGTCTGTTAATCCTTTTTACATCATCAACAATATTTATATAAAGAATTGAGATTAAACAGTAGCTTCTGGTTTATTATCAATTCAGATTGAAGAAATTGGTACAGGTTGTATACTGTATTCGCAATGCTAGTTTTGATCTGTCAAATAGATTGGTTGTCCTATTTTTCATATGAGGTCTACTTATGCCTGCCTTTGAAAGAATATGATTTTTTTTTCTTTTTATAATTGTACATACTGTCCTTTATGACATTTTTAATGTAGCAACTACTCTCTTAAATTAAAAACTGTTCAAAAATATTTATTTTGTTAAATGATTATATATTTCAGTTGAATATATACCTGTTTAGATGAGAATGGCTAAAAAACCCTCCATTCATTTTTTCTAATTCAAAATACCAGGCATACTCTAAAAATAAAAACCCTTAAAAATATTTCATATCACTCTGTTGATGTGGTTTTAGCCATATTGAAGTAACTAAGGTAAAAGTTAGTAGTTATAACAACTGTTTGTTAAAAAATATGTATATTCAAAGTGCAAAAAGGATTGAATATTTAAATGACACGAAAATAATGTATAAACACACTACAAAAGCTGTCAAAACAAAACTTACAATTGCTATTAGGTGAATCAATCACTGACCTATGATCCTATGGCTGTCTTTGTTGTTTAAGTTCATCGAGATAGTTTCTGTGAGTAATAAAGAGACAAAATATAAAAAATAATTTACAAATAATGTCATATTTATGCAAACATCCAGCCGATGAACTGTATATATTTCTACACTATATTCTTTTATCATACATGTATTTTTAATTCATATTATGTAATTAGAGTGTGTTTACATTTTTTTGTTAATATATCTTATTCTATGTTGCAGTGACTCAAATGGAATACATCACAGATACCGCTGGGGCAGACATGGATCAGACTCAGAATGGAGAAGTTTTAGTTGGCCCTCAGCCTGATCCAAATGCAGTTGTACAAGATACAGAAATGGAAGAAGATGAAGCTCGTTCTGATGCAACATTCAAGTTTACTGTACACAATTTTAGTAAGCTCAAGGTAAAGTTTGTATTAATATTATTAAACATGAGGTGGCCATTTTACCTAGATTTTTCTTTTAATATGGCACAGAAATTCTATGTAAGCAATGACTATTATGTGGTTTTAGGACTCTGTACTCTCTCCTCCCTGTTTTGTGAGAAATCTACCCTGGAAGATAATGGTAATGCCTCGTAACAGCCATTCTCAAGATGCTAGGTCTGATAGACCAGCTCAGAGGTCCTTGGGTTTCTTCTTGCAGTGTAATGGAGAAAGTGAATCCAGTTCTTGGTCATGTTATGCAGTTGCAGAGTTAAGAATGCTTTCAGTTAAACCAGAAATAGAGAATTTTACTAGAAAAATTCAGCATTTGTTCTATTCAAAGGTTTGTGAACAAATAATCAGCTTTGTTTACTATATTAATACTTGAATTATTTAGGAAAATGATTGGGGATTTTCACATTTTATGTCATGGAATGATGTGTTGGATCCAGAGAAAGGCTTCATCAAAGATGATGCAATTACATTGGAAGTTCAGGTTGTAGCAGATGCACCTCATGGAGTGTCCTGGGATAGTAAAAAGCACACAGGTAAGTTAAAATTATATTCTGTACTTAAAATATTATTTTTTTAACAATTTATATTTTAGGATATGTTGGTTTGAAAAACCAAGGTGCAACTTGTTACATGAATTCCTTACTCCAAACTCTCTACTTTACCAACCAGCTGAGAAAGGCTGTCTATAAAATGCCCACAGAATCTGATGATTCCACAAAATCAGTAGCTTTAGCATTACAAAGGGTTTTCCATGAACTACAGTTTTGTGATAAACCTGTAGGTACTAAGAAGCTTACAAAAAGTTTTGGCTGGGAAACTTTGGACTCTTTTATGCAACATGATGTTCAGGAATTTTTAAGGGTAGGTTAGATTATATTTTTTAATATAATGAGAATGTACTGTAACTTGAGTGTAAAATATATCCAACTGTTCTGATCAGTACCTTGGAGAGTTAAAATTATTATGAATATTTGTAGCATTGATAGCATTTGAAGAAGAAAGTGTTTAAGTGCTGATGCCGTATGGATCTTGGTATAGTTTCAAAAATGTAGGCACTAAGTTATGAGAAATATTTAACAATAGAACACTGAAAACTTTTGCTTTCAACACTTCCACAAAATTTATTATAATTTATTCTCACTACAGCTGTTTATGCAGAGTGTCGAAACAGCTGTAGTGATAATAAATTCTGTGAAAGTATTGAAAACGAAAGTTTTCAGTGTTTTATTGTTAAATAAAACGAATTTACATCAAGTAACAGTCAAATCCATCACTTATTTATGAGAAATATGAATACATTTAAACAATGACATTCTTGTCAAGTTGTCATAGATATTTAATCATCTTATATTTTAATCAACAACATAATGACAGCCATCCATTTATGTGAGCCATCCAATTATGTGCACAAATTTATTCGCATTCATAAAGATTGTCAAATTCTTGCAAAAATTCCCTTCATCATCATCATTTTTGGCTCTACAATCCTCACTCTACAATTGGGGAATCATCACTCATGACAATTATTATCCCAAAAAGTATGAACAATTTTATTATAATGGACCATACAACTATCATGTAGAAACCACAAGTTTTGTCTACCTAGTCTTGCCATAAATAAATATTGATACAAGGTATTTAACTAAAAAACCTAACTTGACTGACCTTTTCTCTTATTTTCAGGTGCTATTAGATAAGTTAGAAAGCAAAATGAAGGGTACTTGTGTAGAAGGAACTGTGCCCAAATTGTTTGAAGGGAAAATGATTTCATATATAAGATGTAAAAATGTTGATTATTCCAGTACTAGATCAGAAACTTTCTATGATATACAGTTGAATATTAAAGGAAAAAAGAACAGTAAGTATAAATGATTTGTTCTGTTGGTCCCATTATATAAAAAATATATCTTTTATCTAACAGGAAAGTGACAACATAACAGACTGTAAGATTTATCAATCTTAAATTTATAATTTTCTCAACTTGTATTGTCATAAATCAAGAAAAGAGAAACAAATGGGCTTTAATGTGATCCTCAATTTTCAATTTATGTTAAGTTTCAAGTTTTAAATGTAACTTATGTATGAAACAGTATTTTTATTCAAAACATATTGATAATCAATTCCTACAAAATATTTATCAAATTTTTTCCTATTTTCCATATTAAGGATTTTTCTGTTATATGTTGATTATTACTAATATTTCAGTAATATTTTTGGTTGTACATATTTATTTTTTAAAAACAAATAAATGAATGAAGAAATTCTTGGTCTCACTCAAAGATCCCTTATGTTGGCACATGTGTTAGTAGATGACATAAAATTGCAGTGTAAAATTGTTTGAAACAATATCGAGTTGGGTGTCACATGTGCTCATTGTGGATTACACACATATTCACGTTGCATTTTAAGAAAAATTATTGACTTCTTGTGCTTCACTTTGTTCTAGACTTGGCACTGTTTAAAAACTTTCAGTTCATTCTGTATGTGGAATGTTGCTGTTTTTTGAGTATATCACTTTTACAAATGTTGAACTTTCCAAGACGATACATAACTGGCTTCCCTTTATTGAATCATATGCCCATCCGAAAACAACAAATGTATTATGAATATATTGTGTTCCCAAAATTTATGTAGAATTTGTTTTACACTGAAAAGTTGACTATTGTCAGCTTTCCTTGCAGAAAGCTGGCCTGATATTCCTGGGTATATAGTTATTCTATGACTACAGTTTGCTTAGCAATTCATTACCTTTAGCTTTCTGCATCTATACTTTCATCATTATGAGATTAAGGTGACTTTAGAGTACCACAAGCATCACACCTAGGACCTCTTCCTTGCTGATGATTTAAAATTATATTTGAAAATTGAGAATGATGGTGACTATCAAAAACTACAGTCTGATTTGGATTGGTTGAGCTATTGGTGTGTCAGCAACAGAATGGAACTTAATGTCAAAAAGTGTCATTTAATAGTTTTTGGTCAGAATAAAACTCCTACAAATCAAATCTATACTATCAATGGTTGCCCTTTAGACTCTATATCTCAGATAAAAGACCTAGGTGTTGTGCTCGATTCCAGCTTATCCTACATCTCCAGATCTCATCTGTTGTCTCAAAATCACTTCAACTTTTAGGGTTTATCAAAGATTAGATTCGAATGAAAAATACTGAGGCGAATCTATGGAGCGGTAAATGAAAATGGTGTCTGGAGAAGATGATACAACTTAGAACTCTATAGAATATACCAGGAACCAGATATCGTAAAACACATTAAGATAGGACGTCTGAGGTGGATAGGCCATGTAATGTGGATGGAGCAAACCGACCCAGCTAGAAAAAACGCTCCTTGATAGACCTATTGGTCAAAGAAGAAGAGGAAGACCCAGAACAAGATTCCTAGATAACATAGACCAAGATATGAGAAATATGGAAATATGTGCTTGACAGAGGAAGGCGCTTAATAGGGACGACTGGAAGAGAATTCTTGGGGAGGCTAGGACCCACACAGGGTTGTAAAGCCAAAATGATGATGATGATCAAAGATTAGATTACTGTTCATGTGTTTGGTCTCCTCACTATAATACCCATGTTCAAGCTATTGATATGGAGAGATTTGTTGCATTTAAAAAAAAACAGAGGATTGAAGAAATTAACTATTCAAATATGGAAAGGTCCCTCAACATAACTTCTCTCCAAATCCGACGCATGCACAAAGATCTCACTACGTTTTATAGTATATTGCACTCTATTATTTTTGGTCCTCAACTATTGGAAAAAATTAATCTCCACGTTCCAGTAGACAAACAAGGTTAAATCAACCCTTTTATGTTAGAGCCCATCGCACAAACTACAGACTCAATTTATTCACATCTAGAACACCAAGGTTTGCTAATCATTATTCCCAAAGGTTGGATTGTTATAGTATTACAAAAGAATTTAAAGCTCAGCTTAAGAACTGTGTGTGATAGCTTGATGTCCTTGTGTTTTGTACATTCTTTGTTAATGTTTGTTTTTGTTTGATTAAAATTTTTAAAATTTAATTTAAGTAGGTTACGTTAAGAATCTAAGAATCTTGTGTAATTTATCAATAATGTTTACATTGTATTTTAGTTGGGCGATGGCCCGTTGATAAATAAATAAATGTTTGTGAGGACCCTTTTGTCTATCAAAAGTATCAGAAGTGTCTATTAATTTGGTTTGAGACCACTCTAACCAGCATAATCCATGTTGCTTTGTGAATATCGTGGTGTGTAAAGAATAATGTTTGTTTAGAATAATGTTTTTTTCTGCTGTCAAGATTGATTAAAAATTATATGTTTTCATTGATGTTTCATGGACTGAGTGGTTGCCGATTGTTCCTGAGAAATATTCTTTGTTTTTTTTTTGTGCATTCATGTCCCATAATCTATGAAATCGAAGATGTTGTGCGGGGTGTTATTATCAATTACAAAAATCACTACAAACTATTTATTTAGTTGGTCTCATAGTTGAAAATGACGACATCAAAGTAGTTAACGAATTTTTATAACTGGAGTGCTCGTTTACACTGAAAATAATACTATCGCCGAGATAAACCTCAGAATTTGCACTAGCAACTAGTGCTCAATCCGAGTTCTCAATTATGTCTAGAAATACAAAGGTAAAACTCTACAAACAATAATGTGCTCTTTCCTAACATATGGTTCATAGACCTCGACTCAAAATTGACTACAAAAAGTAGTGAAAAAATGTTACAATGTCCAAAAGAAAAGGAGAATCTATAGAGCGGTGAATGGAGGGTGGAGAAGACTATACAACTTCGAACTTTATAGAATATGCCAGGAACCATAAAGTACATTAAGATAGGAGGTCTGAGGTGGGTAACGCATGTAATGCGGATGGAACAAACTGACACAGCCGGAAAAACTCTCCTCGATAGACCAATTGCAAAGCTATGCTTCTAAAAAACTTTTTAACTAAACATCTTTTCATGGGTATGTACTGCTTGGAAAATATCCGCCCTTTGTATAACATCAATATGCACATCTATATGCTGAGGCTCATCTACTCACTCTACATATAGACTAAGGTTTGAGAGGAACGAAAGAGATTTTGAATTTGTACCTCTTACGGTCCACCAGATGATAAACTTTGTATAGGGTATCATTTCTTTTTGGAGGACTATTGTCCAAAAAGAGCAACACACTCAAAATATTTAAAATATCTGACATGCATTGCTATTGCGAAATGCAGATGTTGATAGTAAGGGATGTGTAGACCAGTATTTCTGAATATGAAGTTTTTTACCTTATGAAATGATTTACAACATTCATGGCATTTTCCGATGCCCAGTTTTATTTATCTTATTTATCTCTATTTTCTCCATGTGTTGTCATCTAAGTTGCTGTCTCTAATTTCCCCGTCCACTCCTTCATTTTCAACTTCTTGGTCTGCCACATTTTCTGTGTCCCGGTAGTACCCAATTTAACAGTTGCTTTAGTAGTTTATTTTCTGTCATGCTCTGTACATGGTCGTACATTATAAGTTGTTTTGTCTTAATATCTTCGACTTTCCTGCGGATCTTCACGAAAAATTCAGTTTTGTGACTGTTTAAAATTTTTCTAAGTTACATGGATTTGTCTACAGGTGCGAGAGGTACTATATTCCACATAGTAAGCATCAATCTTAACAGCTGTTGATCGCTGGCATTTGATGCATGCATACTTCTTTTATAGTATAGTCAGTCTCGTTATTCAATAGTCAGATTGCGTTAATTTTCAAATGATTATAGATTTGTGAACTGTTTTAGTCGATGAATCCTTTAAAGACTACATAGCCAAAGAGACCTTAGATGGTGATAATAGATACGATGCAGGAGAGCATGGTTTGCAGGATGCCGAGAAAGGTGTCATCTTCAAAGAATTCCCCCCAGTATTGCATCTACACCTGATGAGGTTCCAGTATGATCCTGTGACAGACAGCTCAGTGAAATTCAATGATCGGTTCGAATTCTATGAAAAACTGTCGTTGGACTCCTATCTCCAGGAACCTGATCCCAACAACCCTGCCAATTATACTTTGCACGCAGTTCTTGTACATAGCGGTGATAATCACGGAGGACATTATGTTGTTTTTATTAATCCGAAAGGTAAGTGATTAAATTGTTTGTTTTATTTTATAATGATTTCCAAATCAGGGAAAAAGCGGGTCATCCTACAGGTCAACCAATCGCACAAGTTAAAGAACTTGTTGCCATTACTACTGAAAGTGCAATATTTTGGCTGATGGCTGTCAACGAAAATCACATCAGTACATCCACAATCCAATAGAATCACTTTAATCATTTAGAAATTTTAATTAGTAATTCAAAAGTAAAACTGAAGAAACCAAATCAACTTAAATAATTTTCACAAATTTGAATACAGAAATATTAGTGGTATAAAAAATACAAAAGTAAACATTCATCTAAAATATAGAACATTAATTCTCATCAAAAGACTGCAGTAAATATTCCATTGCATATGGACAACGCTGCTCCAAAACAAAACTGATTTAGTTTTTTCTTGTTTCAAAGCTATCTAACAAATATTTCAAATATCCCCTTGATTTTGCATCTAATCCATCGTATTCTCGAATCTGATGAAATAAGATGATTATTGTGTCGACTCTGCATGGTTAATTAGAATAAAGTGATTTATTAGAATGAAGCTAATTTGAAGTTAGCAGTAGTACTGTATAAGTGATTTTTAAAAGTTTGGCAAATGGAATGGCCAACGTCCTTAAGGATAAGGCACCGTAAGAAGAAGAAGATAAACCTATATTTTCCTGTATTATGAAATACATATGACCGTATGATTATATAGTCATTATATTTATAGTGATTATTGACTCAAGCAAGGCCTCTGGTTGAGTTCAAAATAAACAACTGATTGAATCCTAACATGCAACATAGAAAATAAAAGGGTAGGGGATAACGATTATATTAAGATACACAAAATAAACAAGATGACTACCAAATCGGCACTACACAGCATCTTCGTTATTAATGGACGTATAGTTACATACGAGATATCATAGGACGCTATGGATGAAAATAGATTTACTATAACACAAATTTTGATTTATTGAATCAAGGAAGGCCTCTGGCTGAGTTCAAAATAAACAACTGATTGAATGCTAACATTCAGCATAGAAAATGAAAGGTAAGGGGATAAAGATTATATTACGATAGACAAAACAATTAAGACGACTACCAAAAGGGCACTACACAGCATGTTCGTTACTAATGGACGTATAGTTATATACGAGATATCATAGGGCACTATGGATGAAAATAAATTTACTATAAGACAAATTTTGATTTATTGACTTCAAAAAGGCCTCTGGTTGACTACAAAATATACAACTGATCGAATCCTAACATACGACATAGCAAATGAAAAGGGACGATATAACGAATCTATTAAGATATGTAATTGATTTTCTATTTTAATATATTCATTATATCCTTCCCTTTCATTTACTATGTCGCATGTCAGGATTCGATCAGTTGTTTGCCTTGTACTCAGTCAGACGCCTTTTCATCCATAGTGTACTATGATATCTCGTATGAAACTATACATCCATTAATAACGAAGATGCTTCGTAGTGCCCTTTTGGGCCGCCCTGTTTGTTTTTTCTATCCTTAAGTAATCGTTATCGCTCCCCTTTCATTTTCTATATCGCGTGATAGGATTTGATCAGCTGTTTATTTTGTACTCAGCCAGAAGCCTTCTTAGTTAATCAATCAAAATTTGGCATACGGTTTTGCTTTCGTATTAATTAAATTATTAAAACAATATCTACAATTACAGTTTTTGTTCACTACGAATAACAAATATAAAATATGCAATGTTAGTATGGTTTTCAAGGAAATTCAATGCAGCAACTTAAAATATTATTTGTTATAAACGAAAATTTTATATTAAAAAAATGATACTAAAAAAACAAAAGTTAACGCATAAGTTACTACTTTTGATGCGAACTAACACACAATTTACTTTAAAAAATAAGTGTATTTGATGTTTCGATTTCGATCATTTAAGTGTCAAAACAACGTTGCAATTACTGCTTTATTATTTTTGTCAAACCTTAAGTTTCTTTTTATTTTACAGTAGGGAAGCTAATTTTGAATTTCCTTGAAAATAATACTAACATTGTATATTTTATCTTCGTTGTTCATAGTAAACAAATCCTTAATTGTTTTATACATAATGTATCTCTTTAATACATACTGTTTTATTAACCCAGATATGCCTGACATACAATAAATTGTACATTACAAATATCTTTTAACTTGATTATCTAAAAGTATCATATTTCTTGATAACCACCTAAATACTTTCAGTATTAGTAATCAACCATAGAGTGTAGTTTAGAATTGCTGTCTTTGAAATATTTGGCGATAATATTGTGATAAAGTTTTCAGTTTTGATAACATGGCCGAATTCGGAATATGATTTGCTAAGTAAGTAAATATTTTTTATAATGTATACAAAACAAAATATTCTTTTTGTGTTTACTTATAGAAAACACATTTATATTTTGTTTTTACGATTAAATATGTTTTTGTTAATTGATATAACACGTAAATTTGAAGAAAAATATTAAAAAATATTTTCATGTAAGTTTTAGGCATATCTGGGTTAATTTGATAGGAAATATGTTTTGTTTACTTTTACTGCACTTCGAATTTGAATGAACAAATTGTAGTTAGTTTTTATTTGCAAAAAATTATTAAGATTTGTTTTTTATTAACCGTTTTAAATATAAATATGGTTCACGTATGATTTGTTTTTATATTTACGTATATTTAAACTCATAGGTATCTATAATTAGGTTATTTCTAAAAGAACCTTTTCAAAAAAATCAGTGAATTTTCTAGGAACATTAAATAACACATTTTCATTCTCACTTTTACATAAAATTATATTTTATGTAAGAGCGTCAATAATTTTAACCACAACTAAAAATGTTTATTTCAAAATTACAATACAAGAAACAACACAGCATGGCAACGTCCAAGCCAATACATGGGTATAAGATCCGAACCATTATGACATTAAGACTGTTTATGTTATTGTCACATTTATAAGAATTATGAATCTGTTATCTGAGGCTAATCGGCATTTTTTTTAAACTAGTTAGTCCATCCCATTCACAAAATAATAAATATATGATTTCATTCATTCATTATTTTCTTCTTTAGAAGTCTAGTTCTATGAAAATTAATGAACTAGTTCAATTAGTTCAGTTGAAAGAATCATTCATTTGAACTATTTCGATGGTGAACTACACATCCCTACTGTGTACTAGATATAACCCTGGTCTCTGGGTTTAGTGATTCCTCTGACTCATCCTTCTCGTGAGCAAATGTTCACTTGGAAAGGTACTTCAGGACTATATTGGAACCATATGGTGAGAAATCATCTTTCACTCAATATCCCTAATTTCATTTATGGTGTTACTATGTCTTGATCTAACCAGTATCTTGCTCAGATTTTCTCACAATTTATAATATCTTCCATTCTCGCTTCTCCCCTTATAACTATATATAAAGGAGAGAGGTCCACCAGGGCCTCCATAGCTGACATTGGTGTATCTGTGATAGCCCCTGTGATTCAAAGTTTTTGCACCTTTCTTATTTTGAGGATTGCACTTTTTTGCTGCACCTTATTTCTTTAGAGAACCTGTTCAATATGCGTACTCTCCCTGATGTATCGGACTTTCAAGCAATACTCCATCTCTAATATGCCTGCCAAGCAGTTTTTCTAGAATCTTCAATATGAGTGACATCAAATTTATCGGCCTTAACTTTTTCCTCGCCATGTTTGTCAGGTTTGGTTATAAAAGCAATGCAGAGGTTCAATTGGTCATTTATGTTAGCAAAAAAAAAGAGAATTCATTGGTTTAATGAATACATTTTGCTTATAAGTTTATAAGATTATAAGTAAACACCTACAAATATTAGATTACTATACTTACTGTGTACTGTTGTACAGTGTACTGTTATCTACTGAAGACCCAGAAGAGATGCAAAGTTCAAAGAATTCAATTACCGAAGCTATTAACAGTTAACCATAGTGTCACTTATGTTCTACTGCAGCTCTATATATAGATAAATTATTAATATTATAATAAATTCTTTGCTGTGTGGTAAGAAGGTCTAGGTTGGTTGTCTTTTATCAATTGCTTTTTTTTAATTTACAAAACAATGGATTGTGTCGATTTGCCTTTGATAACTTTTTCAAATGTTTTAGAAAAATTAGATAACAAGTATGTGTAAGTGGGTATTAAGTAATTGCAATATAATTTATCTTTTGCATTTAGTAGTAAGATGAATTAGTTAAGTGAATTTTTTCAATGAATTTGTTGAAATTTTCCCTTTGGTTTTTTAATTCCTTTCGGTAGGTTTTCTCCAATATTTGAGCCACGAATATTAGTCAACATTACATTAGTCATATTTTTTAAGATCAGAAATGGTTTGGTTTTACCCTCTATTACTGAATTTAAGGACCCAGGTTTACAGAAAATATAGAGGCAAAGCTGAAGATAGATATATTTACCAATAACATAATATTGGGACTAATTCATCAATAAGTGGTAGTTTAAATAAATCTGAGGTGTATTATTTTAGGTGATGGTAAATGGTGTAAATTCGATGACGACGTCGTTTCAAGATGTACTAAACAAGAAGCATCTGAGCACAATTTTGGTGGACATGATGAGGATATGAATATGACAGTAAAGCACTGCACTAATGCCTACATGTTGGTGTATATAAGGGATTCCGAAATGCCCAAAGTATTACAAGATGTAAGTACCGAACCATCGAGAAAATCTTAACTAGAGTAGGTTGTGGAATTTACATTTAAATGTCGCTGGTTGACAATCCAGCAATTTCACAAATATAATATTTTTTTTACTAGTTCTCCAGGTGTTCATTTGTCGGTTGTTTATTTCTCATACATTTGAGGTGTTTGCAGACGTTTCGTCAAAATCCCATTTAACCTTTTCTATGCTTCTTGATATGGAAGCATAGTAAAGGAAGCAATAAACGCCCCAGACAATTTTAACTAAAAAAAATGTTTTGACTTTGCTAAAAGTAATTTTTAAAAATACTTACTTTTCATTCAACAGCACATTTTATCGTCAAATCTTTGGAACTCCTATGGATAGTTCAATAAGTAATATATTGGCACTATATAAGTAATATATTTAGATTATTTTATAAAAAAAAATCGTAATCAGTCTCCCATTTACACCAATTCTCCTATACAAATTTGTTGATGATATTATCTGTGTCATACAAAACGATCAGATTGACACTATCTTAAATATATTTAATCTTTTTAATGATAAGATACAATTTACTGTTGAAATAGAAACTGACAACATCGTACCTTTCTTGGACACTAAAGTAATTCCCACAGAAAACAATCATATCATACTAGATTGGTACCGAAAACCTACTGCATCAGGCTAGACTTTGCTTCCAACAACCCAAAAAACCAAAAATACAGTACAGTTCTTGCCATAAAAAATAGAATACTCTATATATGTGACGATAGGTGTCTAAATAACATCAAGACAAATTACTTCGAGATATTTGTTAACAACCATTATCCAAAGACACTACTAAAACAATAATTTACAACTCACACTATTATGATGGACCGTTGGATAGAAATGCTTGCCAAGATTTTAAATACAAAATATTGTATTTCGTTGGAAACCTGGCATAAAATTACTGCCCTCTTCAAACCATATACTTACTAACATCAAAATTGGTAGTTACAGCTGTGTTAATAACAAAAGTTTGTTTTCTCATGTTAAAGACAAGACACCAGCAATGTACACTACCAATACAATCTACAAACTACCATGTTTAGGCTGCGAATGTTGCTATATTGAACAGGCAAGCCAATGGCAAAACATAATATCCAGCACAAAAGTGACCATCAAAAAAGTAAAAACACATGTGCTGTTGTCGAACATTTCATCAACACAGGTCACCAGTTTAACTATAATAATGTTAAAATCCTACAAACAGTAAATAATTATAAAACAGGCTATTTTATGAAATGTGTTACATTACAAAAACAAAAAATGTAGATAATAAATTATAAAACAGACACCAACCAACTAAATAACACCTACTGTAATATTCTGAAATATATTTAATTCAAAATTAATGTACCATGTATCTGCTAATCTTTTAACATTTTAAATATGAAAACGTTATTATTTGTCATATTTTTTTGTGAACAATTCCACCTCTGTAAGTACATATTTATGTGATTTTATTCTTAAGTTGCTTATATATCTTCAATAAATTACAATGCACTTCTGATGAAGCCAAGTCAGTTGGTGAAATATTAGGTAACTAGAAAATATAATTTTTTCATTCCAGACCGACAGAACGTGACATCGATATGTATATACCTATATTTTGATTTATATTTTCAGGTGACAGATGCAGACATTCCAACAGAACTGGCTGATCGCTTGGCAGAAGAAAAGCGAATGGAACAGGTGAGGCGTAAAGAACGTAATGAGGCCCATCTGTACATGACGATAAACGTTCTTTTGGAGGATGCGTTCGATGGTCATCAAGGTAACGATCTTTATGATCAAGAAAGGGCTCTTTTTAGGGTGTTCAAAATCAAAAAGATGGCCACTGTTGCCGAACTGATGGAGATGTTGGCGGACGCGTTTAAGTATCCTCCAGAGCAAATAAGACCATGGCCTTTTAGCCAAAGGTTAGTAAATTTGCTTGTATTAAAGTATGTTAATTCGGTAATACAACATATTTTGTGTCGTAGGAAAACAATTTTGTTGCTTTTTCAGGTCAAACCAAACCATCCGACCCAGTGTTTTAGATCTTGAAACAGACCTTCACAAGCCAGTTATAGACACAGCAGAAAACGCGAATCCTTGGAACATATTCCTAGAACTTCTTCCTCCCGATTCGGGACAATCGACACTTCCAACGTTCGATAAAGAAACAGATGTATTATTGTTTTTCAAAATGTATGATCCCAAGCAAAAGAAAATCCACTATTGCGGTCACAGTTATTTACCCGTTACGAGTAAGTTAGTGGATATTATACCGTTGTTAAACGAAAGAGCTGGATTTCCGCCAGATACTGAACTGTTACTGTATGAGGAAATACGACCGAATATGATAGAAAAAATTACAAATTTTAATGATCCTTTAGAAAAGGTAAGTTTGTGTAGAACTAGATGATAAAAACGTTTTTTATACACTTAATTCAATATGTGCCTTGTCTCGATTGCATAAGTTAAAAATTATACAAACTTTATAACTTTCAGGTATTAGAAGAATTAATGGACGGTGATATAATAGTGTTTGAAAAGGAAGAAAGAGAGGAACTTTCCGACCTTCCGACATGTGTAGATTATTTCAAAGATTTGTATTGTCGCGTTGAAGTGACTTTTGTAGACAAGTGCATACCCAACGATCAGGGATTCACAATGGAGCTGTCACAGAGAATGACATATGATCAGTTCGCCAGAGCGGTAGCGCAGAGGGTAGGAACCGATCCCTATTTGTTACAATTCTTTAAATCTCAAAGGTAAGACTATTAGTAGCTGTAAAGATGTTTCAAAAAGTCCTGGATTTCGTAAATACGCATGCCCGAAAAATTAAATGGACCCTAAAAACATTTACCATTTTAATTTCATAGGAAATTACGCGACAGGGTAGGATTTGCATGTGCTAATGGTGTCGAGTATTTTCAATAAACATGACATATTATGTTTCTCTAATCTTAAACATTCCAGTTAGTCATCACATTTTTATTTTGTCTCACATTGAAAGATGTAATAAAAATTTACGACTTCCTGTATTCACTGTCGATAAGAATTGCTGTATAAAAATGTAAAATATTTACATTGCACTAATTTGGCTTATAAATAAACCTTATAAGAACTGAAAAAAATCTAGAGGACAAATAAATAAATAACAAATCAACGTATGATAGAAAAATAATAGGATTTTGGTTTTCAATTCAGCCAAATATGTTTATCTTCTTCTTCTTCGTCTAGCCATTCACGTCCACACCTGAACATAAGCCTCTTCAAGTCTTCCTTTCCATTGTTTTTTATTGTACGCTACTTGTAGCCAATTTTCCCCGGCAGTCCTTTTCAGATCATCTGTCCATCTTATAGGAGGTCTGCCTCTGGGTCTTTTGTGTTGGTATGGTCTCCAGGTTAAAATTGATCTGTGCCATTTGTTTAGATCGCTCCTAGCTACATGTCCAGCGTATTCCCATTTCAACTTTAATGATTTTTGCACCACATCGGTGACTTTGATTTTCTGTCTTATCCATGTGTTTGTTTTCTTGTCCTTAAGTGATATACCTAGCATTGCTCTTTCCATCGCGTGTTGAGTGACTCTAAGTATATTCATATTCTTTTTTGCGATGTTTTTGTCCATGTTTGTGCCGCATAAGTTAATATCGGAATAATGCATGCATCAAAAACTTTAGATCGAAGATGTAATTGAATTTGTTGATTTCTGAGTATATAGTTCAGTTTGCCGAATGCTGCCCAAGCTAACTTTCTTCTTCTTTTTATTTCTTCAGTTTGAATTTCCCTATTTAGTATTATTTTTTGTCCTAAGTATATATATTCTTCAACTTTTTCTATAAATTTATCGTTTATTATTGTCACGGTGTCTTCGGAGTGCATGACTTTTGTTTTGTTTAAATTCATTTTCAGTCCTATTTTAGAAGATTCGGTATGTAGTTCTAAAAGCATGGTTTGCATTTCTTGTAGGTCAGTAGCTAGCTAGTAAATATGTTTATACGAGACGAAAACTTGAAATTCCTTGGGAAAAATATTCCCATGAGATTTTTTGCATAATAATAACTTTCATAAAATACCGCAAAATAATGTTCAAGAGGTCGCTTATACAAAAAGTGGTCCTAATTTATTAAAGAGTTTTGTATAAATCCACTTTTAGGTTGTGATAAGGGACTCAAACAACTAAAAACAATGTTTTTAAATTAAATAAGCCCAAACTAAAGTATCAGAAACTGATAGAACAAGGTTTGGTGAATTCAAAAATAATTGTGTGTTTTTGAGCCTTCAATTATAATTTTTCGTTTTTTTTTCCAAGTTGAAAACGATCAACTTTAGAGAAAAATTACAATTAACCTTTTTTATTCAGAATCTAAAAAATTCATTGATCCAAAAAAATGATAAAATATTAAAAACGATTGTTCACAAAAAAAATTACGGACCAAATCACATCTGATAGACTATTTAAGTCTACTTATTTCTAATGTTATTATGGATAAAACATGTAAAAAAGGGGGAAACAGATTGATAAATAATGAACAAAAGGGAGAGAGCCATTTTTTGTTTTGCAGATTTTCATTATAACCAAGAATGAAGATATTTTACAACCTTAAAAGTTTAATATAACTCAGATAGATGTGCATAAAAATATCAGCAAAACAAACTAAATTGAGAAAACAGAGGAATATACAAAGAAAGCATGAATGACTTGGAATGCGTGGGAAAAAAGAAAAAAATCCTTATACCTATACATTATTTCCAGATATACGTTCATGCATGTTATGAATGATATTTGAATGTCGATACTGTACCACCAATCCTTAGAAATTCATTAACAATAATTTTAAAATTGTTTTAATGATCTGTGTAATACAAATATAACTAAAATGCTGTGAATAAGCAATAAAGTAGTGAAATGTAGCCGAAATCACGTGTTCATCATGAATGCTCTGATATTTTGAATTCAATCATTGGCGGCGCGTAAGAAAATATGTTTCCTTGCTGGCCACTTTTTAAAATACCAAACAATCATCAATATATTTCCCCTAATAGTTTCTTTTGATTTTCAGTTATAAAGATAGTCCTGGTCACCCGTTGAGGTGTACATTCGAAGGCACTCTCAAAGACCTATTAGTGTATTCAAAGCCAAAAGTCCCGAAGAAAATATTTTATCAGCAACTTAGTATTCGAGTCAATGAATTAGAGAATAAGAAGCAATTCAAATGCGTTTACGTGGGCTCGAAGTTCAAGGAAGAAAAGGAACTGATACTATATCCAAATAAAGGCGGAACTGTGGCCGATCTTTTGGAAGAGGCGAAAAAGCAAGTCGGAGATTGTGGTACTGGAAAACTTAGGTAAGTTTATCCGTAGATATTATTAGTACTTAATAAAATTTAAATAAAAAAATGAAAAATGCTTTTGTTTAATTTTCATTTTTTTTGTATTTCTTTTTATATTTCTGTTTTTTACTACTAACACTGGTTCTGTGGTGTTTTCTTGTCACTTGTTCCTAATGATCCAGTAACTATACAACCACTGTGTTGATGTGCAGATGTACTGTTACTGCTATTATTACTACTTTTAGAAGATAGCTCACACAGTCTTTTAATTCCAGGAAGTTTACTATATCTAAAGTTTATAGATTCCAGTAAGTTTATGTTAGGTTAACTGATCTTTATCTCATATGCTCCTAATGTGCCGGACGCTCCAGTTTGAGAATATGTATAGAAGTTCATTCTCTACCTCACAGAATCTGTAGTCTGTTACGTCTACTACCTTCAATATTTTCAGGTAGTTTCTTAGTCGAAATCGGTCGAAAAATATTTAAAAAAAATGTTTTTTTTTTGTTTAAAAACTAATGCAATATTTAAATGTCATAGGTTTGGTGCTAAAACTCATTAATACATAGTTCATTTCGAGAAAAAGCCTATAACAAATAATAAGTTTTGTGTCATTTAATAATTTCATTAATTCATACTATCATTATGTTAGTTGTCATTTTAATTATGGTGTAAAAAGAGTATAAGTGAGCTAAACAATATGTAGTCGGGTGTCCTCTTCGTAACGAAGACGATTTGCTTGACTAGATGACCAGCCCAGGCAGCCCAGAATCAAAAGATTGCCCAGTTGTTGATTACTGGTCATCTAAAGAGGAGCTACGAGATTATGACACAAGTTCAGCTATGTCTAGAGATTGGTTTTCTTGGCATCTAGGAAACGTGCATTTAGCAGATAATTCAGTGAAGCCTGGTTGTGATTCGCCAAATTACGTCAGTTGTAAGTTCACCCTTTATTGGATACTTTATCTGAAACTTTTCGTTCTTTATATGGCCCTTCAAAACATCAATCCATAGACGAATCTATGATTCGTTTTCAAGGGTCGCAGTTTTCTAAAGCAATTTATACCTCTAAAATCCATCAATAGAGGTTACAAAGTTTGGTTTCGATCTGACGAGAATGGATATGTTGACCAATTTCAAACATATGTTGGAAAAACTAATGATCAACCTGAAAAATATTTGGGCCAAATAGTTATCTTATTGACTCCGAATTTGGTGGCAAAAGGATATTACGTTTTTTTTGATAACTTTTTCAACTCTGTGCTCTTACAAAAACACTTCAAGCAGAATGTGTTTATGGGTGCGGCACTGTCAGGACTAACCGAAAAGGTATCCCAAAAGACTTAGCATCTGACAAAGAATTACACAACCGAGGACAATCAGACTGGAAAACCCTTCAGAAGAAGCAACTCTTTCTCGCAAACAAAAAGACGGAAATTCACAAATCGTGACCTGTGCCACGATGGTCAAAGAATATAACCAGCATTGAGCTATGTTGACAAAAGAGATATGCTGAAATCTGTATGAAATTGACCTGCAAATCAAAGAAATATTGACACTGAATTTTGTGGCATTTCATAGATATATGTATTGTAAATGTTTTTATTCTCTTCCAACAAAAAGCGAAATGCGCGGTTCCAAATCTGAAATTTAAGTTATCTGTAGCGACAGAGTTAATCGGTATCAGTGGTAGTAAACATTCACGAAGTAGGGTTACTTCTCCTACAGTCACAGGGAAACGTTTAAAAAAAATTGTGCATTATGAGAAACGTTTTGACCAATGTTTGCATATGCCACAACACGGGACATCTAGACGATGTGCTTTTTGTAGCACTAGTAAGGATCCTTCCAGAAACAGGTGGGAGTGCGACATGTAAGGTTAGATTGTGCCTTACCAAAAAAAGAACTGTTTTCATTGTATCATAAAAAGCAACCTACGATTTATAATATGATTTAGTAATCAGATTTTTATTTGCTTCAAAAAATTCTCTGGTTTCCTACTAGTATCATGTCGAAACCGCAGTCTATTAAAAAAAAGGTGAAACAAATTAATATTTTTCACTTTTTTGTCTTTTAGGAACCCAATAGAGTAAGATTATTTAATTTTTACCTCAATTTTTGATTGTAAATCAAAACAAATCAATCAATCAAAGTTTTCAGGAAACAAAGGGTTAAAGTAAAACTAGAAAACTTTTATGTTGGAAAATACCATCTTGCTGGAACGTGTAAAACTCGTTAAGTCATACCTGTCGTGGCATGTCGTCGCATAATGTTCACTATATGACTTAATATGAGTTTTCCGTTTATAGGCACTAATAAATTACGTAATGTGTATTTTGTATTCTATTTTTTATGGTACTGAGTTTTTTTAAATAAGAAAATAATAACTTAAAATTGTAGAATGGAAATAAACTTGTTGACAAATATAAAAATCTTAAGAGGAAAATTTTGTCTGAGTGAGTTTTTGCACCAAGCCCACGACATTTTTAAGTATAAGTTCCTTAGAACTATTTTTGATTGTCTCATTCCTTGTAAGTCATCCAATGTTTGGATCTTTTGTGATAAACTTTTCTTTCTGTTTCTTCCAGAATTATCACTCTCATAATATTCCACTTATAATACTCACTTATTGTTTTCTACCCCATCTTACATTCATTCAGTTTTACTGTGATTAAATACTCTTTTGGTTTTAATCTACTGATTAAGTAAGATACTCTTTTGGTTTTTTTTTTCTATGGAGATATTTAATAATTGATAATTTTGTTTATTTCAGGTTAACAGAAATAAGTAGTAATAGGGTATCAATGGGGCCAAAAGAAGACACGCCTTTAGAGCAGCTAGCAATTACAGCTACGAAAATATATAGGATCGAAGAGGTGCCTCAGGAGGAATTGCATCTTGCCGAAGACGAAACGTTGATTTCGTGTGCTCATTTTCACAAGGAGGTCTTTTCGACGTTCGGCACTCCTTTCCTCATAAAAGTCAAACAGGGAGAACCGTTCGCTAAAGTTAAAGGTATGTTTATGATTAGATTCTTATATAGAATTTTTCATATAAGATTGCTTGCACGTCACTCAAGATTTACGACGTCAGAATCCCACAGCGTTGCCAAAACATCAGAATGGTTAGTACAGTATTGTGCGAATTAATGTGAACAGAGATCGAAATTCAGTTTTCATAAGTTGGCACACACACTGTGCCTATTCTGTCAAATGTTGTGTCAAAAAAACCATATAACCTCAAAACCTTATTAGTATATTGTTCATAACACATGCTTTGTGTTTTATATCATTAATATATTTTGTTGTATCTCAGGTTATGTGCAAGTTGGTGTTATTTTCACTGATTTAACTGTGCAATCAGGTTTAACTTTTTAATATGGATATCACTCCTAGGAAAAGAGAAAGGCTCATAGCATTTAGTGAGCATACACCAATGACTCAGAGAGACATTGTAAAGGAATGTTGTGTAAGTTTGGGTGCAGTAAACAAAATAATTAAACAAAAAAAGAAAACAGGGTCAGTTGAAGTGCAGCGGAAAGGAAAATGTGGAAGAAAACGGAAGACTACTCCTCGAGATGAAGCCTTTCTGTTGCGCGATAGCAAATTTCATCCCAGAAAAACAAGTTATGACCTCCAGCAAGATTTAGAAAAGGCTGGACTAAAAATTCACGACTCAACGGTACGCAGACTCTTAGAAGGAGGGAGAAGAGCCGTGAGACCGAAGAAGAAACAACTTTTGACAGCGCCTATGATGAAAAAAAGACTAAATTGGACAAAAAAAATACGCTCATTGGAGTGCAGAAGATTGGAGAAAAGTGTTATTTTCTGATAAGACCCACTTCCTAGTGCAGGGCCAGCGATCAAAATTCGTATGAAAAGCAGCCAATGAGTCATTTTCAGCTAGCCATATTAACAAACTTAAACGTCCCACCAAAAAAGTGTTCTGGGGCTATTTTGCATACTCAGGAACTGGCACTCTTATTCCTATTGAAAGTATGATGAAAACAGTAAAAAATACAAAGCCATGTTAGGGCAACTCTTAGCTATAGAGCTTGACAAAGTACAGGCCGAAGGGACTGCAATTTTTCAACAAGATTAAGCTCCGTGCCATGTATCGAAGGTTATGATGAAATACTTCAAGGATAATAAATAATATTACCCTTCTTGATTGGCCTGGGAATTCACCTGACCTTAATCCTGTTGAAAATTTGTAGGCAATATGTTACGCTAAACTGCAAAAATTTGACTGTGCGACAAAAACAAAAATGGTGGAAGCAGTGATTAAGGTGTGGTTTGGAGATGAAGTAATCACAAACATTTGCAAAAAACTTGTGGATTCCATGCCTAGAAGACTCCAGGAAGTCATAAAAGTAAAAGGGGGAGATATTAAATACCAATTAATGAAAAAATCTCATGTAAGTGTACCTAAATTTACCTTTGGCCTAAATAAATCATATTTACAAATTAATTCTATTTGTTCACATTAATTCGCACAATACTGTAAGTGAGGGATTTTTAAGATGTCAACTGTTTGTCAAACTGTTATATTAACAGTAAATTCACTTAGTTTTAAGACTACTTCAACACACTAAAATACATAAGAAAACATTTTAATACAAAATTATATATTCTAAATTTTAAACTTACCTCTTTTAGAGCATTAATAGTAACAACGTCCCGCCATTATTTCTTGCTCAAAATAATCTATCTTATATGAAAGCTTATCAGCTTTCTACAGACTATTTAGTTGTTTTGGTATAGCACAATCACAATACACAACAATAATTAGTTTTTAAAGCTATTAATCTAAATTTAATATGTATTTATAAATACAATTTATTAATATATAATATGATCAAATTGTGTAAGAAATCAAAACATAAACAAAATTCTTACTCTAAAAAAGCGGCAACACTTTATACAATTTTGCCACACGCTGAACTGTCATTAAAATTTGTAGTACTCCCATATCAGTTGCGTACAATTGTCTAATCCAGCGGTTCTCAATCTTTTTTGGTGACGGAACCCTTTTGGAAAGCGAAATACTTGACGGAACCCTACAATAAAGCAGTAGTTTTTAAAAGGGTATTCTTTATTAAGAAGCATAATAAAAGTACAATGTAACAGTTACTTATTACTTACTTACATAACAAGTAGAATAATAAAAGATATTAAATAAGAAAACTCTAACTAATGGGAGGTATGAAACTGTTTTAAGTTTCCATCAATTGGTTGATATAAGTTTGATAGAGGACATTAGAAGTCTCATATTAGGTTCGGCGTCCAGTCTATTGCGGTGTTTTGTTTTCTTGGCTGCATATGCTAAGAATGCTGTTTCGCACAAATATGTTCTTGGGAAAGGAAGAAGAATTTTCAGAGCCATTTTGGCAAGCATTGTATATTCATCACAAATTCTGCACCAAAAATCGTTAAGAGACGTCGTTTTAAACAGTGAGTTGCGTGTATCTCGCTTGACATACTTTCTGTCTTTTGTAAGTTGGGTAAAAAAGGATTATGAATCCATGAATTCAGTTTCATTCTTGTTCTCTGTTCTTCGGGAAAATACTATTTAAAAGATGCACGCATCGAAGTGAGATATTTGACCAATTCTTCAAATACATCATTTTGAAACATTTCGTCGTTATCGCTAACAAACTCACTGAGTGACGTAAAGCATTCTATTTCTCTCTTTCCGACGCAAATAATCCAAAAATCTAATTTTCTTTTGATGGCAGTTATTTTGTTACAGGCATGAAACACTGTTGTCTGTTTACCTTGCAATGATAAATTTAAATCGTTCAGTTTTTGAAAGATATCTGCCCTAAAAGAGAGTCAGAACAACCAAGTTTTATCATACAAACAGTCTTTCAAATTAAAAGAAGTATCTGAAAAAAGAAAAACATTTGTAACTCGGCTCTAAGTTCAAATAGTGTTTGTTAAAGTTTTACCCCGAGAAAGCCATCGTACTTCTGTATGGAGCAGCAGTGTTTTATGTTTGCTGCCATAATCTTCACACAATAATGGAAACAATCGAGATTGTAGTGGTCGTGATTTGATAAAATTAATTATTTTTACCGCTTCATCCATAACTAATTTTTAGATTTGACGGCATTTGCTTCATCGCAATTGCTTGTCTGTGCAAGATACAATGATGGAACTACAATTAGGAGCTTTATTTTTTATTCGTGACACAAGTCCTGCTGTATTTCCTGTCATCGCATTGGCCCATCTGTACAAATGTTAATGCAATCGTTCCAACTTAAATTATTTTCCTCAAAAAATATATTTATTTTATTAAAAATTTCCTCTCTGGTTGTGTTTGTGGGCTGCAGTGAGCACATAAGCATGTCTTCTTCAAATGAACTTTCATATGGATATCTCACGATAACCAGCAAGATAGCTAGACCAGCAATATCAGTAGACTTATCTATTTACAAGGCAAGTCGTGTTTTTTTTGTAGACGTGTAACCAGTTCTTGTTTGGTGTAGCTTGCCAGATCATGAATTCGCCGTGAAACAGTATCGTTCGATAGCGGCACAGTAGAAAGATGCTTTGCAGATTTTTCATCGAGCATACATTTTGTTATGTCTAACACATGGTTTTATGAAATTCTCAGCGATAGTGTGCGCTTTATCTGCTTGCGATAGTTTTCGTTGATAGCGATTTTCATTGATACTTTGAGTAACATGTATCATAGTTTTTTGACTTTACAATAACTGTTCTTTTAACGTAGAAAATATTCTTTATTGTTACCTTTAGACTTGGGGTGTAGTTTTTAAATGTCGGCGCAACTTGGAAGATGCCATGGAATTATTAAGAAACAGTTGAAACCTTTGAAACCGTGGAACTTGACGTCGTTGCATAATCGTCTTGATCGGTAATTGCTGTATTGGCGACGTGCAAGTACTTGGATGTAATACGAGAAACGATCGTGCGCGAGTAGCGGAAAAATCTTGCATTTTTACTGCAAATTTCATAGATTTCATAAATTCATATTTTCAATTGTCATATTTCATATTCGTTTGTTTATTTACACGTTCTGTCACTGAAGAAAATGAGATTTAGGAAACGCTGTGTTATAAATTGTAAAAATACAACAAAAAATTGTCAATTTAAGTTTTATTCGTTTCCAACTTCGAAGCACAAATTACTACAAAGAGAAAAGTGGATTTATATCATAAAAAAGCATAAGTAACATAACCTAAATTATGCATTATTCTTGCGCCCGATTTTAAAGTCAATTTGAAATAAATAATAAATAAAAGTTCACTTTTAAGTGTAAATTTTAGTTTCACTCACTGAAACACTCAGAGTTCATTTTAACCCAAAAATCAAGTTTAATGTTTAAATTTTATTTTTCAAGTTTACAAAAATGCATCAAGTTAAGTTTTTCTGAAGGTGCATTAAGATATATTCGCTGTCCAAAAGTTTACAGGGAAAGAATTAATTGTTCAAACCAATATGATGATATCATGGGCTTAAACTGCTAATTTATGCATTAGCATTATTTATGGTAATTTATTTTTCTTAATTCTTCCACATAACTCTTCCATTCTTTTTTGACATTTGCCACTACTAAAGCTCTTCCATTTGACTCAGTGCTTGGTTAAAAAGTTATTTGGTGATTTACTTTCTCAAATCCAGTTTTTATTATTGCATCCATATTAACAGTAATGCTGTAATTAAATAATACATTTATTTGTATTTACACTACATACAACGTTTACCTTTTAATAACATACCGACATAACCTCAATCTTACTTTTTCTTCTTATTCTTTTTTGGGGCTACGTCCTTGACAGTTATCCGATAACCTCGATCTAACATGAAAGCGCAGTAAATGTTGCTGATTTACGACACCAGGTGTCGCTGTTCCGAACTTGCACGGTCCCAATAATCTGCACGTACTGCATGTTGTTGCATCACGTTTAACGACTTTAAGCCAACGTTCCATTCTTCTTTGTTAAAAACAACAAAATAACTCATGACCGTTACTGCAGAACAGTTTAGTCCAAAGAAGAAATGTACAAAACTGATACAATTAAAATACAGCAGTAGAATAAACACTTTTTTCTATAGAATGTACAAAACTAATACAATCAGAATACAGCAGTAGAACAATAAACACTTTGTTTCTATAAATATTTTTTAACTTATCGCTCCGAACGTTATTTACTGCGAGCTTACAAGAGATATGGGCTGTGGCAGGCATAGTAAAATTGTACTAGGCAACTAAGTTCAACTGCGCTACTTAAATTGTGCTACGCAGCATCAGAAAAGTCGACCAAAGGGACGTGTTTTAAATTTTTTTTTTCTGAATTCTCGCGGAACCCCTACAGGGGTATCGCGGAACCCTAGGGTTCCGCGGAACACACTTTGAGTATCGCTGGACTCTAATCTATTTAATTAAAATTATTATTTTGTGGATAATCGATATATTTATATTTCTAAAATTCCCAATATAATGAGGATTACATTTTTCTGATTATTATACCATGTTGACGCCTATGAAAGATCGAGCAGTGCCGTATGGGTTTCGTGTTATTAGTTGTGTTAGGAAAATTTGAACTCTAAGATTGAGGTTTCTTGAAATTATAAATATAAGTGACCTACCTCACTTTATATAAATTGTGACGTGCAACGTTTTTACTTTGAAAAATGGTATAATAGACTTTTTTATAGCAGAACTAGTAGCAAATAGTTTAAAGATTATTCTTTTTAAAGCCATTTTGTATTAGGCAATATCAGATTATACAATTTCTTCCAAGACTAATAATAAACAGCTTGTGAACTAGAAATTATCATTTTGTTTATTCGTATGTGAAAAAAACTTATATCACATATAAAAAACTAGTGCTAGGTCAATAAACTATTATGCGTATACTGCATTTATATCTTTAATGAAGATACTATTATGTCATGCAGTAATTTTAGCCAGAAGTAAAAAAAAAATAATTGAAGGAAGATTGTATTCTAAAGAGCAGATTCAGCATCTTCAGCTAACGGTGGTTAAGCATTTGTGATTATTTTTACTGATTCTACTGCTCAAACTACATGCCCTCTTAATTTTACACGGATTTGTTTAATTGTTACTAATATTAAAAGAGGGAAAGCCAGTTAGAAACGCACGCAAATCGATGTATAAACGGCAAAGGAAGACTCACTGAAAACGGAATGAAGATAAATATTAACAAAACAAAAGTTATGCAGATAGGGGAAACAAGTGAAAAACTTAATATAGAAATTGAAGGAACAAAAATAGAACAAGTTAGAACTTGTACCTATTTAGGAGTAATATTAGAAGAAACAGTAAAAGCAGAAATCAATAGCAGAGTAGAGAAAACGCTACAACTGTATCATATAATTGGTAAAAATACAATCCACATTGGAGTTTATAGAACAGAGGCAGTTGAGTTGGTGGGGTAATTTTAATTAAATATTAAAAAACAAAATAGAGAAAACCAACACAGATATGAGAAGAAGTAATCGGAAAGATACTGGAGAGAAGAGAAGTGACATGAACAGACTCAAAGATGATAACATAAAACCGTAGAGAATGAAAGTAATTTGTTAAGAAGTAAATTAAGCTTTACACCATTTATGGTAGAATGTTTTTTTTTTGATTATAATATATAGAAATACATCACCATATTTTTGTCTATGTGTGACTTTAGTCATTTGTCCACTGAACATATATTTTTTTTTAATTTGACAATAATGGTCTTTTATTTTACAGAACGAATACAGAAACGATTGGCTGTGCCCGAAAAAGAATGGGAGAAATTTAAGTTTGCAATCGTGGCGATGGGTAGGCCACAGGTTATTCAAGAAGATGAATATGTAATTAATTTAGCTGATTTTAAACCTGTTCCTAATCAATGTAAGTATCTAATAAATATTTATATGAGGACTTTTCTTTTTCAGTTTTGGCCATTAAATTAATAGACTTGATAAATTTCTTTTGTTAGTAAAAAAATCAGATCTGACTCTTTTTTGTCTCATATGTCAGTATATTTCGCAAAATTTTATCGTTGTGAAAATAATAATATAAGAGAGATGGTTGATTGACTTAATAGTTTGACATAATATATTGGACTGCTGAGGAATCCTGTGTAATATCAAACCGTTGGATCTTCCCCCATTTAGAAATCGGAGGTGAATTAGTTAAATATTTTGTAATAAAAAGGTTCTGAAGCTGTTTTCTTGGGGCTTGTCTAAGTTAAATACTATGTTTATATGTGATTAAGTCACAATTGTGATAATGAAAATTACATTTTTAACAATTAGGTATTTAGACCACTTTGCACTCTGGAAATCGTTTTTAAAAAAGAATATTTTACAAATTGTGCGAAAAGTTTAACCAACAGGTTATTGTGTATTCGCTTACAACTCACTAGATAACACTATTCTGATTATAATAAATGAACGCCACCAAACTAATGTAATCCCTTGATGTACATATATGACCTGTTTACTTATTTCATCGTCCATTATTCTAACAATAGCAGGTAGAACACATTTTAGGGTATACAGGTGATGTTCAAAATTGTTTATCTAAATAGACGACAAAATAGGAGCTTAACACATTGCCTGCCACACGCCTTTCTCAAAAAGTTTCATGGGGCGCCACACCAAAAAAATTGTTCAATTCCTGGAGGCCATGTCAGACAGATATGACGGACGGAAATTTTTACGGCGAGGCCATGTCGGTCATATATGACTGACAGGATAGCTTTCGAATGCCCTTCTATAACTCAAAATTACGTGAGGGTATATGGATTTTTATATACAATTTTGTTGTTGTGGTGTCCAGTAATACTTCATTAAAACATTGGTGGCGCACCAAGAAAAAATAATGAAAAATTAAAAGAAAAAAATAGTTTTTATTTTTGCCATACAAAAGTGAAACAAAAACAGGAAAATATAAATTTATTACGTATGAATATTTTTAAAGCAGTCCATGCACATATAAAGTTGATCAGGACAACCACAGCAATAAGTCATTACTTTTTTCACTTTCTTTCTGGCTTCCGATCTTCCTAGAGAACCAATCACATGTCTGTAACAAGGCTTGCAAATACGACGAATTTTTTTGTCTTTGGTCAATGCATGACCTTTTTTTTTTATAGGTTCTTCTCTTGGTTCTATGTCTAACATTTGCTGAACCAGCTGTTCTCTGAACTTTCGTATTTGCATCTTCTTTTTCTTTGAAACCATTTTCATTACCAGGTAAGCATTGACAACACTAATGCCGAGAAGAGATTCCATGGCCAGCTTCCTGAACCACTTTACCCCTTTTCTTAAAGTTGTCGCGTAAGAAGACATTTGGTCAGATATGTCTATGCCAGATTTTCCTTGACTATAAGCTACTACCATACTTGGTTTTATTTTAGTTTCCTTTCTCATCTTTTTCTTAAGTTGTTTACTAGTTGATGGTGTCGATGTAGTTGTGTTCTCTTTATTTTGTGAGGTATCGATCAAGTCAGGAGCATGTTTGGTAGACAGTAATTTTACGTCACGAGTGTCTCGCCACTTGAGAATTACTATTCCATTTTCGTCTTCTCTACTTACAGATTCACCTTTCTTCAGCTTCCTCATCATAACTTCTTTTGGAAAATGTTTTCTTGAGGTCCTAACAGTACCGATTAAATGCGTGTTTTGATTTAAGGGGGATAAAGCTAAGGGGTAACTAGTGTAGAAGTTATCAACAAACAACGTACGACCTTGATTTAGAAGATCCTGCGACAATTTTAGACACACATGATGACCCAAACCTAAATTTGTGTCAAATGTGTCTGCTTTGCCTTTATAAATGCTCATAGTCCAGGTATATCCATTTGTTGCACAAAGTTTGAATACTTTTATCCCATATCGGTGGGCTTTATTGGGAATATATTGACGAAAAATTAATCTGCCTCTCCATGGTACCAAAGTTTCATCAATAACAAACTTCTCACCCTGAATCATCTAACCCAAAATTATCATTGTCGCTACCCGTATCGCTTTCACTGTATTGTAATTGATCATCTTCATCACTTTCTAATAAACCAGCTTCCAATTGTTGCTCTGTCAAATACTTTTGATACTTTCGCTTAGACATTGTATTTTTTCAACAAAGCCAAATTGTAAATTAAGATAAAAATACCTATTATTTTCACAACAATTAACCTTTAAATCGTCACGTAAATGCTAATAACATGGCCTCTACCAAAATAAGTTTCAAACCAAAACCAAACAGAAAGTTAACAAAGGAACCAAATCTAAATAAAATAAAAATAAAAAATTATTTGATAATATCGAGTAAACAAAAATGTAACGTTCATAACGTTAACAATTGTCGGTTGAGTTTACCTGTACAAGTAGAAGCTGAATATAGCCGCAAATGTCTCTTTATTTGAAATATTTGTCTCTTTCGAAATTAATTGCAAACATCTGTTGCAATCTGGCAACGGCTGATTTGACAGTTTGCAAATTTATCCCCTAATCAAAGGGCAATAATTGCCAAAAAAATGCTAATAATTAACTGCAATTAATCTCCAAAGAAACAAATATTTACTCATTCTTGTTTTATATAAATTAAAAATTGCAGAGTTCATAACATAATATAAACAAAAAGCACTTTTCTAAAGCTTTATCTTTTTATATTTGAAGCATACAGCATCTACATTATAAAAACATGCTAACACTGCTAACCAAAAACTCTAACAATTACAGGCAATCACAAAAATCTCTCCTCCACAGTCCTTGAGCCCTTTTCGGGGCGTGGTGATCCCTGTGCCGTATGAACGGCTTCATGTAGGGATTTTACCATCACAATCTTCATTCGGTCTGCTCAGTGTGATGGAGATCTTCCTCTTTGTCTTGCTATATTTCCTTCTACTACATTTCCTTCTACTACGAATAGTTCCATGGTCCCCGTTCTTCTAGCTATTTGCCCGAAATAAATTATCTATTCTTGGTTTACTTTTTTTAATAGTCTGTCTTTTATATGAAGGTCTCCCAGAACTGACAGGTTGGTTCTATGTTCTGTCTAGGACCCGCGTATAATTCTAAAGACCCACATCTCGAAGACTTCTAAGACTACACTTAATTTCTGAGGAGCAATCGCCATTGTTATCATGGCGCCCAAGTATACAAATCTGCATTGTTCTTCAGCTATCTCTGGAAGTAGAAAGTTCTTTAGCTGTTCATTGATTATACATAACAGGATTTTGCGTGCTAACAGGAATAGACTCACGGAGTGATGACGTAGAAGCATTTATTTTTATTGACATCTGTCAGTTTCACTTTATCACTCTCCAAACAAACCTTGTTTAGTGTGGATAATTTGTATTTTTCGGTGTTTTTTCATTTTTTTACAGAATCTTTCCGCTTTTTGCAATATAAGTATTCTAATAGTTACTACAACAATTTTACAAGGTTGTGTAAATAATAAAGCATGTTTTTTAAAATAGCAATAAAATGCATGTATCAATAAAGTAAGGTTAGAATTTCTTTAATTTAAACTTTTAAAACTATATTTGGTAGTATCGTAAAAACACTATACTTAAGAAGAAAAAGCAGCAGAGGAAGCAAAATTTTAACTTAATAGAAATTAAAAAGTCTTAAGATTGGGCAAACCCTGGCTTTTCAACTTTTATTTGGAAAGTAATAATAATAATATGTCCGCCGTGACGTCACACTCCGGCTGTCTATAAGGGCAATAGTTTTAAAATTGTTGCATACGGTTAGTGATCCTTTTTTATGGATAAAGATAAAGATAAAGGTTGATTCACACCACTCATCAGGCCTTTCACTTGTGATTCATATCATCTTACACATATCCAGTATTACATCTATGCCAATCTCGCCTATTGCTTTTAGAGTCTCCGCTGGTATGCCGTCGATCCCTGGGGAGTTTTTGTTTCTTAGTTAGTTGATTGCCTTCCTTACTTCTGCTCATAAGATTAATGGTTCTGCCACTCTGAATGTTTCTTGTGTTCTGAGACTGATGCATCTTTGATGTACTTTAGTTCTGAGGCTGATGTATTTTATATGTTCTCTTGATAAACATACATAGATAATATTGATAGAATGGTTTTGTTGATTAATTTTTTTCTTGTTTTAGCAGCGGGTAGTCCTCGACCTTGGTTGGGATTAGACCATGTGAATAAAACTCCAAAAAGGTCGAGGTTTAATTACCTGGAGAAGGCCATCAAAATCTACAACTGAGACTGACAGAAGAGACATTTAGTGACAAAATCTCTATCACCACCTAACCAACCGATGACCACCCAACCTTCGAGTTATGGCCGACATGTACCCCCGCCTACAACTTTCCCCCCTATAAGCGAGGTGTTGCACGACATTGTCACTATACCACGCTACATAGTCAAGACGCCTGACGATAGGACTCAGTGTAAATTGTAAGGGCGCCGTTTTTCTTTCAAGTCTTGTTTATAAGAAGTATTACATATTGGAGTCACCCGGTGCTTTATTTTTATATTAGGTGAGCTTTTGATTTTGTAATAATTAAGAAATGGGGGAATCCCTCTTTTCAAAACAAGATTTTAGTATATGTAAAGTTGATTTAGACCTCATATTGTGTTTTTACCATAAAAGAGCTAATAGATAAGTAATTTTATGACCGTAATCGAAAATGATACTTTTCTGTCACACATCTTTTCAAATGTCTGCAGCTGTACGACAGACAGACTGCGAGTAAGAGTACTCCCCTTCCACGACAAAGTTAATATTCGGTTCTGCATCGTATATAATCTTTTTTGATTACTAAAACCTACTAATGCTACTAATTAAAACTTTCTAATGAATTTTGATCGTTAAAACATGCTACTATTATAACATACCATTTGATCATCTGGTATAAAAATGAAGCTCCGGGTGTATCGGGGAGGAAGGACATTGCGGAAGACCAACTGCGTCTTTTAGACTTAACCTTGTCGCCAGCATCTCGACTAAATATGCTTATCCAGATTATTCTCAGAGTAACTTAAAAACAGGCAATTATCAGCTATATATAACACTTGTAAATATTTATTTAACTGACAAATAAAAAAGTCTGTCTCTTGTTTTTTAGGGTGTATTCACATGTTGATATTTTGTAGAGGGTTATTCAGGATTTCGATTGAAATCATGTTTTTAATTATATTATTTATCACATATTTTATATTATCTTCACGGTTGTACAAGATATCGATAGTTATGAAGGATATTACATAATTGTTACTGAAAGGGATGTTGCAGTTTGTGTTGAATGGTAACAAAAGTGGTTTATGGTTTTAGAACGAACATAAATATCTGATGGAAGAAAGCAATGATGTTAATGTTTAAAAAGCATTGTATCATAATTGAAAACAATGAGTCGCATTCTTAAAACATGGATTATTTGTATCTCAAATATTGGATAGTAACAAACTATGGTTATTGTCATTTGCTTGGGTTTATATGACTGCAAACACTAAATCTATTCGGCCAATCTTACTGATTATACGTATTAGTCATTGTTTCATCTATAATCTTATCGACATCTGTTAAATTTAAGAATATTTCTTTCAAGCGTTCTAATCTTTCTCTTAAGTAAAATTCTTTTTATTGACAGGATTGATGAAAAGATTATTTTACTACAAGATCCTTTCTCTCATACCATCTCATTATGCCGCTTTCAGTTTTATGTTTTCACGATGGTACATTTACTCATCAGAAATCTTTTGAACATGACGAAATTGTAACATTATATTTATATTTAGGACTTTCAATAAATAAATACACTTCCTTCTTTCCAATCTTTTATGACTTATCCAAACCTTTCATGCTTTCCTCTAATTAGACTCATTGGTTTAATAGACTTTCTCTAGTTTCTTAATTTGTTTATCTTGGCCTTTTCCGATTTTCCCAGCTGTGATTCAATTAGTTAAGTCAATTGTTTTATGCCATATTTACTTTACCTCTCTATTTGAAACTTATACGATGTTTTATTTTGCGCCCCCACTTTTGGATTCGTATTTCTTTTGCATTATCCAGTTATAATGCAAATAAAGATATAATCTTATGGCTTTGACTTTTAAATCTTTTTACAACTATAATCCAATCGAATTGCTCTTTGGATAGATATTTTGGTAATAATCGGAAAATGCCGAGACCCTTGATGCGTGGCGTTGAAGATAGCGGATTATAGTTATAACAAGGGTTAATAGTAAAAGCCTAAAAACGCTGTCTTAATTCCATTCCCTAAGAATATTTCTGATTTGATACATATATCTCTATCTTCTATCTCACCATACTGCAAATTCGATAAAAACAGTTATGTGAACTAATAGGTTAGAAAAACTCAATTTGTCTCTTAAATTGGTTAGTGATAGGTAGTTCTTTTTTTTTATTAATTATTGAATTTTGATTTAATTGATACACTTACAGACAAAAATATTAACTGTGTTTCTTTAAAGTTTTTGTAATTTATATTGTAAAACTACACTCACAGACAAAAGGTAAATTTTTTGTCTAGTTTTGATAACCAACTTTTTAATACAAATTATTTGATCAGTTGTTTATTTTAGCTGACCTATTATCAGCGTTTTGTATTCTATAGAATATGCTCATCTGTTCTGTAATTTGATGAAGATAAAGTTTATTACTTACAAATTGATTTTCTTGCTCATATTTTGACCTTTAGAAATAAAAAATACTCTTTATGATGTCACAAATATCTTTTAATTTCGTTTCGTCTTGTACAACTTTGAACAACCTTTCGCTAAATTTTGAATAACCTGGTCTAATATGTTTTGAAATGTAAGTATCATCTCTAGTTTTATAGCCATTTTGGTTGACTTTTTTAAATGTGTACAAGATGGCCAGCTTTTTCAAATTTTATTGGTAAACTTGCTATACATTTACGTTTCTCTTGATCTGTTCAAATCTTTGTCTTTTTCTTTATTTAACATTTATGTATACGTACTGTGAACATATTGAGGAATCAAAATAAAGTTTACTTTAAAACTTTATTTGTGATAATCATAAGTTAAATATATATTATGAATTTTAATTGTTTCAAAGAAATATACTAAGAACAAGAATATGAATAGGTATTTCAGCATTCTACAAAAAGTACTAATGTGATGTTTTTAATTTTTGTATATTGTGTTTATTTATTTTTATTGTTTTACCCCGCGAATGCCTGAAACTACCTTTATATTCGGTCCCTTTATACACACACGCTTTTAGGCATCTGTCTTTTAGTTTTACGTATCATTTGCTAATATAATTCGTTTTTAAAACTGGACATCTTGTATGTGTCCTTTAATACACTTTTTTTGAACGTTTCTATTCCTTTTATTGGTCTTTGTTTTATTTGTGTGTGGTTTAAATTGTGAGTTTCGTCATACAGTTTACAACCTGACCTTGAATACAGCAAAATGTTCAACAAAGACCGAAAGTAGAATATTATTCTTCAAAAATCTTTGGTAGGTAACGTATTATGGTAAAGATATCTAGTAAATGGGGGAAATAAAAACTTTATTAACAGAGTGTTGCAATTTGCTTGCGAGTGTAGCATACAAGAGAAGGACACAATGTCCAATCAAAGTTTGCAGACAGAACCATGTGGAGTTTCCATAAATATTCATCATAATTCATTTTCCTATCATTCAGTACCATTGTCATTGTACAAGTACCATTGTGCAAGTTCATTAACCAGAATGTTATGCTTCAACGTGGATCCCTTTTACCATCAGTCTTACTCGGTATAATGAGCTGAAGCAATTGTATTTTATTTGTAAGATATTTTGTATAAAAGAAATTTACGTCAAAGTATTATAATTTTCTTTCTTTATGGTGCTTGTTTGTTTAGTTAGTTTAATACTTCTGTGCTGAAGACCCTATCGATCCACGAAGGAGGCAGCAAACTTCGGTAGGTCCACATCTCGAAGACTGCAGTTTCTAACACATGGCAGCTGTAAGTGTCATTTTTTACGTATACTTGTTTCTATTCCGGATCTTATCTCCTTATCTATATGCCATTCCAAGTGTGTTGTCCAAATATTTATTCTGATGAACGCATTCTGAGTTTTCTGTCACACTCTAGAACACATAACATGTTTATATGCTTGTGTATTACTAGATCTTGATCTTGGTGTTCAACTTGAGCCCTGTGTCTCTACTTTGATCTGCGATGAAGTTGCTTCAAGTCATTCAGTGTACTCACTAGAAGTACGGTATTACCGGAGTAAGACCTTGTTGTCTTTTATATAAACCTTGCTGCAGATTTCTGCCAAAATAAACAAACGAGGTGACGACACGCAGTAAAGATTTATTATTATTCTCATTTTTTTTTGTACTTTTGTAAGTTTATCGGCTCATCTCTCAAAAAGTTCTTTACTATAATTGCAACATACCTTTAATTTTGCTCTTCTCTCCCAAGGATAACTTTCTCTCCTTTTTGATCCATTAATAATCCAACAGACTTATTTTTGTACCATCCGGTATTCGATCTCTTTCAATAAACAACCGCTTCTAATTTGGTTTTTTCTTGGTTTTTGTTTTTTAAAAAGTCTCATTTATTCCATAAGGTTGGTATCATATATCTATATTTCCGACCTTGACAAGATCCTTGAACTGGGCGATATTTGGGGCTTTTTGCCTTCGGTGTCACGTCTTCTAGGAATTTTTATCGATGGTGTGTTTAGAATTCCCTTGGTTCTGTTTGTGTTGTATCGTGTTGGTAATGGGCCATTTTTGGCATAATAATTTTAATGATCGAATGTTAAAAATACAAATATTTATTAGTGAATTATTAGTGAATTTTGATAATATTGCAAGGTCAGGTACATTTTTCACACTTAAACCAGAGTTTAAACCACGAGCGATGTGGACTTTCTCCTTATTTTTATACTTTTTGTCATTACTACTAACAAAACAAGATTTAATTATTGAAAATGAAATATACTTCTGTTTCGATCCAAAGCCGATTTTATTTTTCAACATTTCCAGGTCCTAGATTCGTTTTGCTTGTACAAAATTTTGTATCAAATAGAAAATGTATTTATTGCAACTGTGTATATTTCGTCATTTCAATGAAAATACTTGCTTAGATTTTAAAAGTACTGCAATAAAAAATAATGAAAATTATATTTTGAGTTTTCTTGTTAAACATGTGTAAGCAGATTAATAATATAAAATAAAAAGAATTGTATGTTGATTTGCGAGCTTTTAATTCATTTTTTGTTTCGTTATTCTTAACAGAAATTAATACTGAGAAAGCTTGAGATCTTCGGAAAGGTTCAAAGCTTGATGGAAATTGAAAAACTGGAGCAATGTTTTCAAAATTAATTCAAATGCTGCAATAAGGAAATAATCCAGACCTAAAACATTAACAAAATATATAAGATAACCCAATACGAAGATTCAAGAAACAGACAGAATAATTGAATGCTGAAAATCAAAAGATATATAAAATATATATGTGGTGGAGCCACGCCCTCATTTTCCGAGGTTAGGTATAAGTTTTGATTATAACCAAGTGACCAAAAGAATTGGTGGAAAAAGGACCAATATTCAAAAATTGCATTTAGGGAGCTATCGGCCTATGTGGACTAATCCGATTCTACATTCTCATCTAACAAAAAATAATGTCTTAACACATTAGAGTGCTTAATTATTTGAACTATAAAATGGCTTAAGTTCATTGATCTTTAAAATACTTGATAAACGGCCGATGTCGATTATTCTCGTGACAGAACCACGGAAAAAGTACCCAAACCCAGCTTTAATATCAAACTATATTGTGGACACTGTACGAAAAATATCGTAAGCTATGAGAAGGATTCTTAGTAAAGAAAAAAATTTCAATGAATAATTTAACTTGCGGTTTTACATTTTAGCAAATTACACTTGGTTTAGTGTGATAGATTAAAATTAAGATTGTAGTTTTCCAAGGAGTTGGTATCAAATCCCTTTCCACACTGCGACGTTTAAGATCTTTTGTGTAAATCCTACATTTATATTCACTCCAACAGATCTTGGCTTCTATAGCCCAACCAGTGGCGGCTTGTAGCTTTACAGACAAGGTCGGCAAGGTATTTTTTGTCTCAGATAGGTATACCGTCTAGTAAAACGACTTTAATCATCATAGATTTTTAATTTTTTTTTTCCTATAAATTTAGAACCTAAACATGTTTACAAATTAACTCTAGTCTACTTTGTTTGGAAGTAGCAAAACGGGTTATAACGCCATCGAGTTTTGAAGAGATTTTAAAGGTTTTTTTTATTGATATTTGAGACAAGCTTGACATTCTCTCTTGTTTCATGGTGTTTCGACAATACGTTTTGATTCTTTTGAGACAAGAGATATCTAGTTCATTTGAGGCAGACGTTGGCGGTAATGTGAGAATTAATGTCAATAATTTATTAATTTCGGGTAACAGTTTGTTGTAATGAATTGCAGTATATAAAATTATACATATCTTGTAACTTATCCCATCTTCCGAAAATATTTGGATCAGCATATAAAACTTTTAATTTATTTTCGAATTTTATTTTATTAAAGAATGATTGATAATTTTTAATTAACCTGTCTAATAATATTTGGAAATTCTTTGGCGTAACTTTTAAATTTTGAATCCTTCAAAGAGGTAAAAAATTTACAAATCGTCAAAATTCGAAAAACGAGTATCTATTTGCATAATAATAGTATCCAAAATTTCAAAATATACTCGTTTCTTGAGATCTGTTTCTGTGTCATGCCTTTGTCTTTTTTTGGGGGTTTCGAAAATATCAAGCGAGTCCAAAACGTCACTGCGTATATACTGGAAATTACTATCATTACGAAAATATCTGAGAATTTGCACCAGTTTTGTTATTCTATTGTTAGAATGAATAATGTCAATTAACTGATTTTGAACAACATTGAATATCAAATCGGTTTGGGTAAACACTTTCTTAAAAATATTTAAAAGTATGTTAAAAGAATAATCATTTTTTCAAACTGATTGCTTCACGGAACGAGATATCATCACTTTCAAAATCGTCGCATTCAATAATAAAATCAAAAACTTCCAAAAGCTGTTCACGAAAATTTGCTACAGTGAAAACTAATCGAGATTTAAAATTCCATCGCGTCTGACAAACTGTTTCACTTTCGAAATTTCGGCATTTTTTTCGAAACAAACCGTTCTAAAACTAGGCGAGCTTAAAATAAATGGAGCAAAGCCGCTTAAACTGGCAAAAAAAGACTACATTATTTAAGTTTTTTACATGTACCCTGGAAAACTAAATTCATTCTATGTGCATGACAGTGAGTAAATAAAACTTGCGGTGCAATAGTTTTAACTTTTGCCTGGAGACCATTCAATTCACCAGACATCACGGCAGCGCCGGTATAAGTTTGTCCTACCAATTTATTTTTGATATCAAAAAATTTGAATCTATCCTTTAAAACACCAAAAATATATTCTGCCTTATGGCTTTTACTCACGGCTGTTAAGCCTAAAAACATCTCATAAATATTACCACGTAACGCGTATCAAACAACAATTGATAATAATTGTAAATGACATAATATATCGGTAGTTTCTACCAATATATCTACTTCTAGTGAGAAGCAACTGGTTTCCTGAATCTTAAGATTCAATAGCGTTACTCAAAAAGTAACTAATGGATTCTTGTCTTCGAATCTGATATTTCGAAATAGCATGTTTCTGTAAAGCCCTAAATAATTCCTTTGAATTATCGTAACCAGATTCACACCACGGATTTTGATGTCTGCTCCTATTTGTCGAAAATAAAATGAAAAGTCAACAGAAAAGTTTATTTTTTATTTCACTCCCGGTAAACCATGAGTACTTGCTGTACCAATTATCTGAAAATGATCTATTACTTCCCTTACCCCCCGCACTAATATTTATAAGCCGTGACATTTTAGGCTAAGGACGCCCCTTATTTTTAATAACAATTTGTTCTTCGTATGGAATAGATGAAAACCCATTTTGCAAAATATAATTTACAATATCGGATTTATCAATACTTACAGTTTCTCCCATTGCTTGCATTTTTAGGTTAAATCACCTGAACTTGTTTGCACTTTAATTTAAAAAAATCTTTTAATATATTAAAAAACTCTTTAACCTTTAACTATTTACCACGTATCAAAGTATTACTTTAGAAAATAAAAATAAATCTCCAAAGAAAAGCTAGTTCGTGGCTCGTGCACTCAATATCACTTCACTACTTAAATTCTTAAGTACTTATCCATCCCGAAATAACTTTTCATCCCACGCTTGCAAGGTACAGTTCGCGACCAATCCAAGTGAAGCATCGGCAAACGGCAAATTTAAATTTGCCGTATTTGGCAATTAAAATCGTATGGAGAGAAATGTATGTTTGGTTACTCATCAACTAATATTCCGTTACATGTAAATCATCAAGCTTGGGATCGGCTTGCCGAAACCCCGAAACGTGCCTTTTTAAGAATTCACACATGCGGATGGATGTCTCCTATTTCGGATCATTAATTTGAAAAGTGTCTTACGCAGGGATCACTTAACACTCAGATTGGACGAATTCTTTTAAAAACCATGAATAAAATTTAGTCTTTATTATCTCACAGATATTTTTTTTATTTCACAGAAACAAATGACATCAACTGATTATTTTTGAACATGGGGCTCCATTTTCCTAAAATGAGCCGTCAATCATTACGATAAACATTACAAGATCTTAACTTTTTGTAGCGTTTTTAAATAAAACAAGCGGTTCTAATTTATATAAATATATTTATTTATAAGTTTACAGCACAATAATATCTTATCAACTCAAAATATCAGCGCTACTTATATACCAGTCCATTCCTGGAGTTCCATTTTAACAGATAAGGAAGAAATAATATGGCAACGCTCAATTCTTCGACTTGGGTTAACGCCGGACATACAGTTGGCAAATTTTGGCAAGATAAAACAGTAACCAATGCACGGCAAGCGTGTTTTAAGGTTTATCGACAGTTAGCGTTAGAAAATCATGGAGAAAAAAAAGTTACGAATATATTCGATAATAAGAATTTTCAAGAACGATTACCAAAAGTGCCAAAACTAACGTAAAGTTCGTAAGATTTTATTGAATATTAAATATAATAATTTATGTTACATCATCAGCGACAAATAAATAAAACAAAATATTCTTATTTTATCAAAAGAATAAAAAACAAAAAGTTAACGTTGGAACATAGACGTTTGAAAAAAAAAAACGTAAAAGTAAGGTGAAAAAAAAAAATCATCCATGGTCAAATTATTTTTAATTATGAGCTGTAAAAGTAACTTTACCGGCTCGCTCAGCTGTCAGTCGGTATCTTTTTGAAGAGTCTATCAAACCATATGTATTAAAACTTCTTTCAGTAGCTGCACAAGTCGCAGTCATAGTTTGGTTTCAAAACAGGTTACTTTTGATCAAGTCTCGGGCTCTAACGTATTAAGAGGTCTTAGAACGTACGGTTTTGCAAAAAAAATCTTTCTGATCTGTCATAGAACAATTATTCTACCATTAAACTTGCTGAGTTATCTGGTTTAATTTAACTGAGCCATATTATCAATGCTATGCAGACGACGCAATACTACCTTCTCAAAGTGAACACGATTTACAACTTATGCTGCACCAATTTTAATATAACCGCCAGAAAATGTAACGTGTTAATTTCCCCAAAAAAGACAAAATACATGGTTACAACAGCAAATTTACTAAATTGTAAATTGGAGCTGGAAGGTCAGATAATAGAATAGTATGGAGTTAAAATCTTTAGGCATCACATTATCTAGCTACGGAAAGCTCGAAACCGAAGTGGAAGATCAAGTGAATAGAGCAAACAGAGCCGCAGGCTGCCTGAATGAAACAGTTTGGAGAAATAAAAATATCTGGATAGAAATGAAAGGCAGAATTTACAAAACAGTCATCAGACCAATAATGACACACGCGAC